ACGACAAAGAATTTGTAACTAAAAATTAGAAGTTTTTTTTCTTGGAAATTGAAGCTCTGCTCAACAACTAACTCTTTGTTTTTTTATTATGTTAAAACTTAAGAATAATGACTTCAGAGTATGTTACATAGTACTAGAGACAAGTAAGCACTATTGAATCAGGGCAGGGAAAGAGTTCATTGCGTAGTTATTACCAAATAAATAATTACTTTGAAACAACCATACTTAATAACATTTCAACTTTGAAAAGGTATCTGAAACCTCAACAAAACTTAAAAATTGCTTTAAAATCACTTTAGTAGTAATATTTTTTTTTAATTAAGAATGTAGGTGATATATTCTCTCCATTCGGCTTTTTAATTTAAATTTCCTTGATTGTGATTTAATTTCAAGAACAGGAACTCAGGATCTTTGGGAAAGAGGACCCCCACATAGTGTTTATCTTTATATACTAATATATGAAAACCTGCTGTTTATACGTTCAAGACAAATATGAATTCAATGCACTTTTTAATAACTAAATCATTAATCTTATCCATCTTTACCTTCTGTACTCAATAAACAATAAATCAGTGTCTTGTTTACAAACATTCGTAGATTTTGGAGAAAGTTTGAGAACTGTTCTCCTTCATGAAGTATGAAATATGAGCTAAGTATTAAGAACGGAATATCGATTGGAGCTTATTTCAGTGTGCTGATATTCAAGATAAGCTGATAGAAACTCAGATACTGAATCCGAAAATCATAAATCATCGAAGGGCAATGAACATTTTAAGACAAAGTTCATGGAGTTGACAACTCTCATTGCAAACACTCAATGGCTTCTAACGTCAATATTGAATAAAGATCATTTTTTTACTATAATATCCCTTCGTTAGATAATGATAGTTTATATCACACAAAATATTTCATTGGTTTAAAAAAAATTAAAACCCTCTTCCTTATTTTTATACTATTACGGATATAAAAGAACACAAAATACATGTTTTTATTATTTATTAAAAAATATATAGGTCTTTTGGCAATATAAATCGTCATTTCTTTGTTTGGGATAAAATAGTTTGATTTAAGAAAACACAACTAATTGTTGAGAAATTGAAATGGTCATTTATTTAACAAATTTTTTTAAAACATTCAGGGCAATGTTCAGGTTAAGCTGATAAATCCTACAACACCTTATTCTGATAAATTACCAAAGTAGATCGCCATTTATACAGGTCTACTACACCTGTACCGGTTGACCTTATTGCCTTCTTTGCATAGTCAGTAAACAAAGCCTCTCCATTAACTCCATCAGTTATTTACACACTGAATTGACGACGGATTTTTCGTTATTTCCCGATCATGACAAGGAGCGCATAGCGGTTTCGACCGGTCGGGAGGGGGTGCTCACTCCTCCATGACACCTTTTGAGCTTGAATACTGTTCATTATCTCCATATATTTCATCAATAATTGTGTATTAAATTTTTACACTTTATCAAATAAAACATTTCAAGCTTGGTAGCTTCTGAAGGCTTCCAATCTTAAACTGGAACAAATTTGAGAAAAACACTTTTACTGAACTGTCAAAAGTCATTGTTTTTTCTCATTTTGTATCTTTCTATTACTTCTTCATCATATGTGGAAATAAGAAATGTTATCTAATATACGAAAAAAAAAGTAAGAGAAGCTGAGGAAAATCGGTCAGCCAGTAAACATTCAATTTAAATTATTTATGTTTATTTGATGGTATCATCTAATAGACTCTATATGGAGAGATTTCTTTATGCAAAAAGAAAAACTTTTAATCTTTTGAAATAGAGTAGGTATACAAAAATTGGCTACAGTAATATCTTATTTACAAGGTCAAGGAAAAAGCTATATTATAAATTATTATTAACTATATACTATCATGCCATTTTCTATTTTCCGCAACAGATATAATTCATTTTAAAACATTATTGAAGCGAGAACAAATATAATCCTTTGGTAATTTTCCAATTTCAAATGTTTAAGTGTTTGGAATTTTTAAAAACATCTAGTTTTTATGAAAATTCTTTATTTTTCATACATTACGAAGATATACAAAACAGATTTTGAGGAACGTCTCGTCTGACCTTAAGCCAGAACAAAAGGTCTGTGGATGTTTCTTTTTTCGATAGCCTAGCAATCAAGGAAACAGACTAACAAAAAGGATTAATTTAATTTGAACCAGCTTAAACTGTCATATATAAGTGTAATAAACAATAGAATGACTGACAATAACACTGCTATAAAGTCCATTTTATGACCTGATTGAGAAGAAATACATTCAACATGAAAAATGGTCATTCATCAAATTACAAAAATCAATGCAGTAATTGCCTATGGCCTTCTCCCACCTATCCTATTTTCCTCTTATAATGTATTTACATAAAGTTTTACAAGAAATGATGAGAAAAACAACATATTAATACCTGTTGTTAATTAACCCAGAATTCATTTTCGAATGATGAACACTCATTTATATTATCATGTTAAGCAGGCATTTAGCTTAATAATCAACCTTCCTTCTAGATCTTAATTCTACAATTGGTCTCGGAAACCAATAATGCACTTTACGATAAATTATATAGTCCATGTAAAGGGTATACTGGATTGGCTTCAGAAATTACCAATTTCTTTCCTTTTCCGCGTTTTTGCTTTATTTTTTTTATTCCCACTCAATCCCCATTTAAAAGTTCATTGCAAATCTTCGGAATAAGACCAAAATCATTTTTATATATTATACATGTATTTATATAATTCTTTTTTCATAACTACAAATTTAAAAAAAATTAATGTTCTTAAAATTTTATTGAGATTTATTTAATAACAAAATATCACAAATGATTACTTCTAACTTATTGCTGGAATGTGATTCATTCTGGATGCAATTTTTAGCCTTAATCTGACTGCACCGTGTAATAATATTTAACGTCTGATTTTTGCCTTGCGGCTGTCTATCACAAATTTTCTCTGAAGTCTAGGGAATCTTCTGATTTTTCTCTCACAACCAAAGATCACAGCCGCCTCTGAAAACACGGCAAGATAAGGCATTAATAGAAGGTTAATTGAAACCCTCCGACAGTCACACGCAAAACTGCCAACTAATAGGAAGTATTTCATTACGATATATCCACGGCTTTTCTTTTATAATTGCTCAAATTTGTCTTTGCCTTAATGAATACTTGTTCCCGTTGCATGCCGTTTGGTAATTGTCTTCAGAGCGGTTTCTTTCATTCATTAGGACGAAGATCAGGTGTGCCCATACGTGGTGGGAATCGACCAATGAGAGCGAATTAGTTAGGAACTATTTGTCAATGCGGACGGTGTGTTTTTGCAGCATTTCGCCGGATGGACGTGATGCTGGCAATTTATTTCAACCGGAAGCCTTTGATGCTTTGGTTTCTTTACAGGAACTCCATATCATCTTCCTGTATTTTCATATTCTTGTCATAGATCATTGAATAAGTAGGATATGTTTTAATTCCAAATTTCATTAATCTTTTCTTTATTTATATCTACATTCGGGTCAGAGAGTTTAAAAACACTCTTTTGATGCGGTTAAATTATCTTTCAAACAATGAAAGTCAGGAATATGGTTTGCAATTAATTTTCAAAGACATGTTTTCTACTTCATTATTTTGTCAGCTGTTATGATAAAATATGTACATCCTTTGTTCACCTCATTACCCCAGAGAGAAGTTTCCGATCGTGACCCATGACGTCGTTTTTTTATAGTAATTCATTTTATTTTGATCAGTGTTTTGTCGCAAAGATACGTCAAAAGAGATGTAGATTTCGAAAAATCAGGAAATAAATAGGTATGTTAATTTGTACAACAAAATGCATTACCACATGGAAGTCTAGGGGCGGATCCAGGTGATTTCCTGGGGGGAAAGGGTGCAAATTATATTGACAAGCTGGTATGAAATGTACTCGTGTTTATGATTTAGGGTTTCTATTACAACATACATGTAGAAAGAAATTTGTCTAAAATATTTTCAAAATTTCCCTTTTATAAAATTGTACTGAAAATGTATAGATTAAAAAGGCATTTTTTTTTAACACATTTTCTTTCAGAAAATATACAGCACAAATCGCCTACCTACCAAGTTTGTATATTTCATAAACTAGTATCAGATGCATCTTGTGTGTAAAATCTTAGAGAGATTTGTATAAAATTATATAAATTTGACAAAATTCCACTAGAATTGAGAAAATTCGGGAAAACGTCCTATTTTTTTTCACACTCTTGTGGCCTCCATGTATGCTTTTTAATAAAATTCAGAACATTTAAAAACAATCTTTGGAAACAACAAAATATCACAGTTTAAGTTGGTTATATGAGGATAAGAGGATAAAATCCTTTAGTTAAAGTTTATCCCTTTTATTAGACATAAGTATAAATGAAAAAGTCTTTTTTTTTCAATTACTAGTAATTCAAAGCATTTTCTCTTTGGGATGAAATTGGTCATACGAGGATAAAAACCTTCATTTAAAGTAAACTAAAACATAACTAAGCTTTAGACATGACCAGAAAATTAAATCTAAAAACATCAAAAGAGTGAGTTTTTTGGTTAACAGAATTATAGCAAAATTTAGGGGGGAAATGAAATATATGGAGATAAAAGAACAACACGCAAGCTTTAACGTCCATTCAAACATTGTAAATCAGGAGCAGAACATGGACGTCTGAAACATTAAAGGTGGGATCAGATACCATGGAGGAGTGAGTATCTCCTGCCGATTGGTCACAACCACCGTGTGCTCTCAATCCTGATCGGGAAATATAACGGAAAATCCGTATATATAATGACCTTACAAAAAGCTTAAGAATACAATAATAAGTTTATAGTAATTTATTAATGCTGTGAACTATTGGGCTCATTATCCCCCAAAAATGAAAAGATTTTAAAAATGTATATATTTCATGTTTTATTTAATCTAAAATAGGGTAAAAAAAGTACAATTTAATACATAAAGTCCACATTCTTAAAATCCTTCATATCTTCAAAAAAAGAGAAATTGTTTTTATTTGCAAAACCTTTAACAATATTTCTAAATACAAGCCTATTTGTAAAGTACAGAAGTAGAATTCATAGAACCCCCCGCGTCTCTCTTATGTTTTCTCTTCAAATTATTGAAAAAAAAACTTTTCCCCTGAAAATGTAAGTTGTAAAAAAGGAGATAGTCTGCCTCATAAAAGTAGTTTCAGGAGACTTAGAATTAAGCAGGTGACGATGCTTGGAGTGACAATGGAACTTGAAGACTGGAACCCAGCTGGAAAATATAAGAAAATGTACTCACATTAAATAAACGTTATTACACATGAACAGTTTCTTTGTCAATATTACTAGTAAGTAAGAACATATGGCAATTTGAACTATTGTAGGCGTTACAATAATGATTGTAATTTTATTCTTTACCGAAATGTTTTGATAAATGATGAATAGCTGTCAAAATACAAATCTATGGGGGGATTTTTTTTTTGCATAAGAAATTGATTTCTAGCTTGCTATTTTAAAGAACTGAACGTTTAACAACTTTTTCTTTACATAATTAAGCAATGATCTTTAATTGTTTTATGAAGACTTTCCTGCATAAAATGGAAAAATTCAATCAAGAATTTTGACAGTTTTTACACGTACAAGAAATAGAAAATCTCATAACAGTAGAAAACTGATCTTATGGAGAAAAATCAATGAAAATGCACTATTACCTTGCAAAAACATAATTAACACATAATTTGACACATTTTGTGTTAGGTTAGTGATTACAAAAGTACCATCTTTGTGCTATTGTGGGCGTTCATTTTGCAATAACTTTGTTTAATGTATGAACATATAAACAGCTATAAATAAATACGATAGATTTTCGCGCGAAAATTGAAAACCGGCTTTTTATTTTTGGTAATTTAACCGCCAGTTCATTGTTTTCTTAAAGAAGAACAAAATTACCCTATATAGAATAATTTTAAGTATTCTAATGAAATTGATTACAGAAAAACATTGAAATTCACAGTTTAGGACTTCAAATGTCCTATTAAGGTCTAAAATGTTCTCAAATTCTTATACGTAATTCAGCAAGATCTCCAAAGTAAATATAATTTATCTTGTTTATCCCGATTTTGCATATATCTAAACAATAACCTTCCGGCAATGGATACTTGAAATGAAAGTGAAAAGTGTTATCGAAACGGGAAACAAGAAAGAACCAAATCACACAGCAGTATAAAGACAAACCAATATACGCAAAAATAAGAAATAAACGATTGAAGCAGACTTAACTTCAAAGATTACGTGGAATTTTGTTTACGTATTATTGCTCTTAGATTATTTTTATATTTTTCATTTTGTGGAGGGTAGGGGTTTTTAAGTGCATGGAGAGAATACTGATTCTTTTTTTTTAATATGGCCTATATTATTACTTACGGACAGGTTTCTGACACAACATGTAAGCCTTATAGTCACACGGCAGATCATTGAATCTCCCTCCTTTATACATGGCAGCACAGTTCTCATTACCACCGGCATTATTGGGCTCATTCGCCCAGTTTCTGAAAAATAATGTTTCAACTGAATGAAACGTCAATAAATTTTTTTTAAAATCCCTTCTAGATGCATTATTCTATTGCATTTAAAGAACATAAGGGATAAAATAATTTTTTTTTAAAATGTGTTTATAAATGCTTAGAGTGAAAAAGTATTACATAATGCAGCAAATACTGTAAAGTAAAGAATAAATATCATCACATTATGAGCCCTAACTACATCAGGTATTTGAAGCAAACCTTTATATTTTTTTACTTCTTAACCGTTACACTTTGGATACCGAAAGCAGTATTCAACACACGCTTCCAGAAGATTGCAGGAGTTCCTGAAAAGGCCTTTTTCAAATAAAATTTAAACTCACAAAAGGGAGGGATCTGGTAGAGCCGTTGCTCCATTAAACATCCACACCCCCTCCGCTTGTTGATCGTTTAAGCCGGTCCACCAACCGCTCCCTGAATTCTTAATCTGCAACATCACCTGTGATTTCACAAATGTCTGCAAAATAAAATATAAAATGACTGTAAATGTGTAAGCAGACAATATAATACGGATATCATAAAAAGAAAATTTAGTCAAAGTGAGAAATAAAATAATTAACATAAGCATTTCAAGAGGTTTTTCCACAGAAAGGATGGAATGAACTAATAACTAGGAGACAACTTGTTCTCGAACAATTAGAGGTATTTCCACGTTTTTTGAATTTTTTTGAGTATTTTTATTCCTCGTTTCTTATAATTTCCTATAATCGATAAAGAAAATCACTTTTTCGGCCTGTGAATCGATGGACAGGTAATTTGCCGTGACCCCTGCATCAGAAGCCAGGTCGTTACATCTCTGGTATACGTCTTTCCATCGGAGTTTATCGGAGGATGAAGCGTTACTGAAGAAATAGCAAGAGTTTCCGTTTCCAACCCAATTGGCAAGGCATGTTTGAGGCCCTTTGAGAGAAAGTATGCAAATATGCAAATGAAAATATGAAAATATGGAGAGAACAATCATAGGCAATCATGACTGCTATTCAATCCAATTCAATGAATAAAATATATTTTAAACTGAAAATATGCATTCATCATCTTCAATTTGCATCCACAAAACAATCTTGATACGCTCGAACTAGATTGCTACACATTTAACTTCGTGTAACGATCTGGTTATAGGGCGAATCAAAGAATTTTAAAAAGATTAATCCACTGAAATAATCAGGATCATAAATCATTCTGACTATATAATCTTAAAAAAAACTCTTTAAAAATCTATTAATTTAAAAAAATATTTTATGACCTAACTAACCATAAGTATTTGCATGATTGTGTGTCTTAAGTATTTTCACAATAAAATATATTTATTTTCATTGAAAATTATACAAAACAACTGTTTCATTGGTACAGAACAATAACAATAATTGGCAAAGGTCCAAAACATAAGCATCATCATTTACTCATATAATTATACAATATGTTTTAGAATTTGCATAAATAAGGATGCATAGACACAAATTCATTTCACAAGCAATAAATATGTAACATTTATGCAATAATTATGTAAGTAAAGCTTAGCCTTTTAAGCTTTATTATATTTTTTCCCCGAAAAAAAATCATCAAGTCTCTTTGAAATGTTTATGTGTACCAGCATCTGATATTGTTTGTTATAATAAGAGGGATATTTTTTTTTAAAGGAAGATATGAATCATGATACATTGATGTTATAATAAATTCTCAAGCTTTTTATGTGGGAAATGACTTGGAGTACACAGTACAGTCAACAAGACATAAACTAATCAACACCCCAACTGTCTCTGTTCAGTAGGCCTATAGCTTAACTAGAAACCCTAATGAACATTGTGACTTGACCATTAAAGAAAAGGTATTCCGGTTCCCATGGACAAACTTCTCGGGAACACACACTGGAAACTAATGTTCATAATCCCAATTTACTGTTTGTTTGTACGTAAAGAAAAGTTTTTTGCATGACAAGTCGAAAAAAAATAATTTGCTAAAAAATTAAAAAGAAACAAAGAATCTTTGTCGAAAATGCTAAATGTAATTTTTCCCGGATGCTATAAATAATCAACTGTAGTCGACCATAAAAAGACTCTATCAAACTTTTATATCCATTTCTCTATTTCACCTGATGGATTTGGGTATTCACAGATATACCCCAGGTGAGCCTGACAGTTCAGATCATTCAGTACCCCGTCACCGAACATCTGCCCACAGTCCTCATTGGAAGCATAATCATTCGGCTCATGTCTCCAATTCCTAAAAAATAAATTTAGTCCCAGTACCTATTTTTAATACCTTAATTTTTCTTTTTCACCTTTCTCTACATATTCATCAAAATATCCTTACACTTGTCAACCCAATATGGGTTTTTGTGTCCAAAATGATTCGATACTAAACAGCATGCCCTGCGTGGGAACAGTTTTATAAAGACTCGAGCTATTGACAAACAAGTTGATTAAACAAAATTAACGAGAGTCCCATTTTAAGTCATTTAAAACATTAATATTCTATGGAACGATACAATAACCTAATCAGCAAGTACAATCTATCATTGAGTCGAATACTTACTGACGTTTTTCATACAAATTGTTAGACCATTATTTACACACTCAATTGTGCGCGTATTTTTTCGTTCGCCCTATCATATGACAAGAAAAACAATGCAGTTGTGACCGCCACGGTCGATAATAGATGCTTACTCTTTCACGGCATCTAGTCCCACCTCTGTTGTTTTAAAGATTTCGTGTTTGTAGTGTTTCCGATTTGTAATTAAGAAATAAAGTCCGCGTTTTCGTGAATGTTGCAGAATAACCTCCGAGGTCGAGAAATGTTGTTTGAAAGATAAAAGCCGAGGCGTTAGCCGAGGCTTTTATATTTCAAACAACATTTCGAGACCGAGGAGGTTATTCTGCATCATTCACGACAACAAGGACGTTATTTCTATTCTGCAAAGATCGATAAATACGGCTGATCGTTTCCTCTATAGAGAAACGAATCAGGTCACCATGTCTCGATTTTGCTGTTCCATTTAACACCAGAGGTAAAATTTGTTTGCTTACCTGTGTATAGAATGCAGACGATTTGAGCTTTCATTACATTAAAAATAGCCTTTTTAGGTTATAAATTTGTTCGTAATATGTATTGATCAGTTAGAATGAATATACAATATTTCCATTTCTAATTTTTCTCTCTGTGATAACTCTTTGAAAGTTAGCGGAGTTAATTTCTTGATAATTCTACCGGAATGTAAATTAGGCAGGTCAATAGGTCAGGAGCTAAGGAGGCCTAATATGCATGAAAATCTCGTGCGCATCTGTCTCTGAGTCTGACGCTAAGGAGACGAAACATGCATGAAAATCTCGTGTGGCTGCCGTTGTGTTTGACGTCAGTGGGCGAGGACTATTGAAACTGGGATGGGAATCCTCCTGTAATTTAAATCTATGTCTACATGTTTAAAGTCTAAATCTACAATTTTATTTCACAATGAAATGGAAATATAAGGAATCACTGTCTAGTTAGTATAGTATGCCAGGGACATCAACATTAGTGGGAAACATGGGATAATTTATGCATAACGGGCTTCGCCCGTTATGCAAATTATCCCATGTTTCCCACTATCGTTGATGCCCTGGCATACTATACTAACTAGACAGTGATTCCTTAAATAACAAAATCATGTTCCTGTTTTACTGCTAAAATCACGTTATTTAATGTGTAGGGAGGTCCGTGGAATAGCCCGCTTAGCTATAAAAACCGACATTCATCAGCAACTTGATGCAATTTACAGTGTTTATACTGCAAAAGACGACACATCGATGCGTTCTAAACAAGAATTTCATTCTACAGCCAAACATGCATTTGAATTGTTAAGATTTGATACATGTTTCTGATCTGATAATTTTTTGATGACGTTCGTGATTTATTGGAGAATAATGTCCGGCGGTTTCCTTTGAAGTTTTCAATAATCGTGGTAGAATATTTAAATAGATTTAAGCTTGAATATTATTTGTTATCACCCTATTATCCTATCTAATTTGACAAAATGTTTGAACCTTTAAGTTTTATACTGCCCTAGAAAAGAGACGTGTAATATATAAGTATATAACAGGTCGGAGAGAATACTCGAAATCGGGTATTATCCGTGAAATCGCGTATAATACCCGATATTAGGGTATCGTTGAATCCGCGAAATCGGGTATAGGAGGTGTAATCACCTAATAAAACTTAAACAATGGGATGGCGCATATTGCCGAGTTAACTTTCTTCTAGATACAAATGTTTTCTAAAGGTATCACTAGCCAAGTAAGAATTTGGGCGTCAAGATTAATGCGCTCAGGACAACAAATACCCGTGGAGCTCAGTACATTTCATGATCTGCACACAAAAAGGCGTTCGATTTGCTTTATATTTTTCATAATGTTGGAAGTATATGCATCTTCCTCATGTTCATTCCCAACACAACAGAATTGTAAAGTATCAGAATTCGGGAATTTATAATAATTCCATATTAACACGACAAACATGAACAATTTGTAAATAAATCAAATTATACGGAAACACATTTCACACACAAGATATAATGCCATTTATAAGCAAGGGATTGTCTATCGTATCTAATTATGCGTCATTAATTACTTTCACATTCATCTTGTGCATAAAATCAAATTTATTTATGAATGTAAAAATAATGTAATGATACAAGTGTCTAAAATTTCGGATAAAAAAAACCTTATTTCTCTTCTTTTTTAAAAAAATCTTTTTTTTATCATTCATACATGTTTGCAGAATGTCTTCAACATTTTAGCAGAGACAGTGATAGTTTCAGGAATACAGCTCATAAGAGAACATAACTGTTGATCGTTTTATTTCGCTAAGTCATCAATACAGTCTGTATTTTACCATTTCTTGGCGACTTCAAAGGGGGGGGGGGCTAAAGGCTTCTTGACCACCTCTGACAAAACAACCTCGACTGTGTTCTGCATATGTCCAAGAGACCTCTCCTTTCGCCATCATTGAATTAAATGTCAATGCAAAGTTTTTTGCTATATGTCTTAATTGAATGTCACGGTCGGGTATTTACTGCCACCCGGTAAATTCAAAATTTACAATATGACAATACTATACAAGTAGCTAAAATTCATGTTTATTTTTTAGATGAGTTTTAGGAAAAGTTATTGCCATGAGTAATAAGTATCACAGATAAAATAACTAAAAGAAAACTGTGACATATTGTCTAGAACCAATAAGATAGTGCGTTGCATAGCATATTACAATGAGGTTTTAAGATAGCGATATAAAAAATGCGTAAAATAGACAACAGAAGGTAAAATTTACCCTGTCTATCAAACAGTATGATAAAGAAAGGAATTGGCTCCAATTTTTATGATATTTTAATGTTCGATGAGGAATTACTAGTATATTCCCAAAAAGTAAGACAAGACTTTCCAAGGCGCAATTGAACACTCCATTATTTCAGTTTGTTCATTAACATGCTCATAAACGTAAAAATTATAAGAAATTTGAAAACTTGACTATGTAATTCATATTTGAATATGACTGTACCTCGATCTATATTGAGAAATCCAGTGTATTATATGTACACATTTGACTTTTATTTATATTTATACCCCCCTCCTAAAGAAACTCCTGTTCACATGACTTCTCGCTCTCAATTTTCACACAAATGCATAAAATAAAGGTAAAATAGCGTATCTTGTATCGATAAAAATGCAACCAAAAAATTTACAGTGTCTTTGAATAAAAATTTCTATGCTAAATTGACATAAAAAAGATACTCACCTTCAATTAGCTATTTTTCAACCTGTTTTCTCGTGGGTATTTATTTAATCTTATTTTATTTTCTTCTTTATAATAACGTTGGTATTCTATTTTGGCAGAGATATACAATTATGACTCGCTTATACTGTACTTTCTAACTGTGAGGAATAATTTATATTTCACGTGAAAGGGACGCCATACATAACACGGCGTTAGTCGTTTAATTTCTTAAAGTTTCACAATTTGCGAATAGTGCACAAATTAGAAAATTAAGTATATGGAATACTTTAATGGGAAATAAAGACAAACGAAGTGTACTTATTTGTTTTTAGAAATTATATTGAAAAATAATAACGCCATTGTGTCCTCTTTGTTACCCCAGCAGTGATTGTCGTGTGATTTTAAACTTATTTGACAACCATATAAATTAGGTTTAATAAAAATAAATCCACAAGATACTGATGTACAAGTAACAGTAACTGGCATAATGCGCCGTTGCTTTATTCTTTAGTTTTTATAGAAAGTTGCACGGAATACCCGATTTCGCGGATTCAACGATACCCTAATATCGGGTATTATTATACCGCATTATAAATATTCTAAACAACGCGTTATCTGATTGGTTCTAAGTTATCACGTGATCGGGCCGTAAAACTTCATATTTCCCGGCCGTCGGCATTCTTTTCATTATATTCCACCTCTTCGGATACTTAGTGCATTTTCCCGCAAAAATTATCGTTCGTTTTAAAAAGAAAACTCCCAAGAGTATAGTAGACGTCACAATAACCTGGTTTACGTCATAAAATTGGTGATAATGTGTTGACCAAAGGGTTTTATAGTAACTTTACGTAAAAAAATGAAAGTTTTGCTTGTTTCGGTATAATAAACAATTCATTGCATGAATGTTCGGGAAACATGAAGACTTATTCAGTCAAGAAATATCATATTCCCCTCGGGCGAAGCCCTCGGGGAATATGATTTTTCTTGGCTGAATAAGTCTTCATATTTCCCTCACTATCATGCAATAAATGTATATTATACGTGATATCACGGAAAATACCCGATTTCGAGTATTCTCTCCGACCGTATAAGGGTGAAAATTTCATCACTTCATAAAAAATTAAATGAGTACATGTATAAGCTATTTTGGACCTGCTACGACACGTGTAAAGTTTGGATTCTTCTTGTACATGTTGTAATGGGAATAAAAATTAATTGGATAAATTCTAATTTTCTGGTGTTTGAAACAGTAAGGACTTTGCATTTATATTATCTGACCTAAATTTCACAATTAAAGAGAAAGGCGCGATATAATGGATTTATAAATGTTGACCAATTTTTATTCATAGGAATTTAGAACTTCTTAACAAACGTTCACTTTTTTTACAGTTTGATCAATTTTCAAAAGTTTTAAATTACTCTCCAATCTGATATCGATTTTTTGTGTTTTAATCAGGTTATTCTCCTAAGATTTTTATCGAATTTCAACAGCTATCATAATGAGTTTCATTCATTTTTTTTTTCTCAAGTAGCTCTTCTTGTTTTAAGATCGCCCTTAATTTACTTTTAATCCATCACATCCATATCATTCGTATAATTTCCCACGTACTAGCATCGCACTGAACTAACAATAATCTTGATACTGAAATATCCCCTAAACTTAAAATTATTTCGTTCATTATTACCCCTCCAAGTTTTACATGTACTAAATTCCATTTAAATTATACGGGTTTTTTGTTTGACGTATTATCTTGATTTTGTACATATAGACGTCAGTGCCAGCTATTGAAGGGCAGCAAATTTAGTACTCTGGACCTAGAACATTTGAGCAGTGAAGCATCTTAACATTAATTATCATCTTTAAATAATGCTTATTTATTCATGTAAAGAGACGACCCTTTACCATTCAAACAATAAAAATTAGAAGAAGATGGATACTCGGCACTCATGTCCAACGAGCAGTGAGGCGTCTTTTTCGTGTCGATACCTACTGCGACACGGGACCTCCGTGCTTGTACAAGCGGTCTCATCCGAAGGACCGGTTTGCACATTTCTACAGTGGGATTCGAACCCGCAACGTAAGGATCAAGTTCCAGCTACTCTAGAGCAGACAATCCAAACATGGCGCTTCGCAGGTGACAAGGTCAACTATCACCTATAGTATACACTTATCCATTGGTTGTGAGTGGGATAGCTCTTTTATCAAACCTGCGACAGGGAAATATTCCCCGAGGGCTTGCCCGAGGGGAATACTCCCTGTCAAAGGTTTGATAAAAGTGCTATCCCACTTACAAACAGTGGATAAGAGTTTTATATTACTGATGTATAATATAATTTTTGAGGTTAGAATTTTTTTTGGAGTAAGATAATCTGAAATCCTGATGACGTCACAATGCTACTGAATTCATTATGACATCATCAGACAATAGATTAATCGCTGTAAATCAAAATTGGCGGCAAAAATTGCATGAAAATTTTCCGAAGGTGGATAGCAAAAACTATACCCCGGGGTATAGCTTTGCTATACGTAGACTGTAAAAGATAGTTATTTTACTTTCTGAACTTTAAATAGGAAACATTTTAACAGAAGTATAATAAAAAACTCTTATCCACTGTTTGTAAGTGGGATAGCACTTTTATAATATTCCCCGAGGGCTTGCCCGAGGGGAATACTCCCTGTCAAAGGTTTGATAAAAGTGCTATCCCACTTACAAACAGTGGATAAGAGTTTTATATTACTGATGTATAATATAATTTTTGAGGTTAGAATTTTTTTTGGAGTAAGATAATCTGAAATCCTGATGACGTCACAATGCTACTGAATTCATTATGACATCATCAGACAATAGATTAATCGCTGTAAATCAAAATTGGCGGCAAAAATTGCATGAAAATTTTCCGAAGGTGGATAGCAAAAACTATACCCCGGGGTATAGCTTTGCTATACGTAGACTGTAAAAGATAGTTATTTTACTTTCTGAACTTTAAATAGGAAACATTTTAACAGAAGTATAATAAATGAACTTAGTACGAGCGTGAAGAATTACAGAATATAGAATGAAGAGATATCTGTCACTGAAATATTACATTGAAGTAAAGAAAGCTTATAAAGATTTATTGTAAGTAAAACTAAGTTAGTATTATAGCATTATACAAGGAATTTCTTTCGGTAAAGGAGATTTTCATATAAGTAGATGTCGAATTAGGTGTTACTTAGGATGGACATTATTGGATGAAGAAGATCATATAAAGTAAGGATGATTTCAGTACCTGACAAGTACATAAACGTTAGGTGTGAATTCGCTACGGGAATAATTATCGTATACATGTAATTTAAAGATTTAGCGTGTGGCAGAATGACATAAAAAGTTAGAGTGATCTGGGAAACATGTAGGTTATCACCTATAAGTTAAGGGTGATGTTAAAATATTGAACATTACATAAAAATCAAAGACGCTAGTGAACTTCTGCGAAAAGCGCTAACTTTAACAATCGACGACACACCTTTACACCAGAACAATACATGGAAGGTCTTTTGCGATAAAATATTAAGCTTTAAACATTTAATTTAAGATAATAATGGACCATTTTAGAGCATATATATATTATTTAGTTATCTAGAAAGGGAACAACCCCACACACATCCCCTCAACCTCTGCCGACTCACATTACCTAACTCTTAATTATCCGTCTAGAATGTAATTCATCTTTATACCAATGGCCAAAAGTGCCGAGTATAGGACAATACTTGCAGACCTCCACCGGCAAGAAATAGCGTCTCCTTATGAGTGAAAAATTCTCGAAAGGGTCGTTAAACAACAAACAAAACAAGCAACCATTTGACGGCTTACTTTGACATTTTAACCTACCTTATGTATAGAGAAATGTTAAAAGACCAGAAAACCTTAATATAGTGGTTATCACTTTTAACTATGGTTTTCAGGGGACGCAAACCAAACCCTACTGGTATACAATCCACGTTTCCCTATTTGTGTCCATGGGTTAACATTTTCTTTCAATTTTATTTTCGAAAGGAAACAAATGAAGAAGAAAAACATTCCATAAGGATAACAATGAATGGGCAATGTGGGAAGAGAGGGGTTGAGGATAAGGTGCATGTCTCAGTGGTTTTCGTTTCCCTATATAGACAACGTAATTATAACTTTTATGCTCTAAAATGGTTCATTATTATCATTTAATCAATTAGTAGAAACATTGCAAACGAGCTTCAACTCATTACTCATTGTCCTAGCACTAAAGGAAGTCGTCGATTGCAAAAGTCCACTTTTATGTAATGCTTATATACTAACCTCTCCCTTAACCTATATATAATACCCACAGTAATTCATTCTACACGTTTCTAAGATCACCCTGAACATTTTTTATATAATTGTCTTACACTTTAAATTTCACCTTAATTCATCCCTTAAGATTTTTGTCCTTGTCTGGCACTGAAGTTATCCGTACTTTATACGTCATTCTTTATCCAATGATGTCCATTCTTAATAACACCTAATTTGTCATCTACTTAAATCACCTTTATCTTCAGAAAATCCTCGTATACTGCTATCAAAAAAGCTTACACTAAATCCTTCATAACCTTTCTTTACTTACACGTAATATTTCAATCACTGATATTCATTCATATTAAATCATGAGAACTTTTTTTATAATTCTAGTTGCTAAAAGCAGCTTTCATTTCCACAGTATTTTTTATAAACGGCATATGATCACATCTAATTTCCATGTAATCTTTCATTTACATAGATAAGACTTAACTATTTTCAGAGAGTGCCAATTATTACACGTAACGGGCATTATTTAAAGGTACAGGGAATATCCATTATTTACACGTAACTGACATTATACATGTACGGAGATAATCCATTGCTTACAACATAAAATGTACGGAGATAATCCATTACTTACACGTAACTGGTTTTATACATGTACGTAGGTTATCCATAACTTACACGTAACTGGCGTTTTACATGTACGGAGATAATCCATTACTTACACGTAACATGTATGGAGATTATCCATTATTTACACGTAACTGGTTTTATACATGTACGTAGGTTATCCATAACGTACACGTAACTGGTCTTATACATGTTCAATGATCATCCATTACTTACACAGGCGCTTGACGTTTTTAACCTTTCTTGTCATAAATCTAAAAGTATCCCCTATACTATAATAATAACATTATCGTATAGGGAATATATTTTTATGAAAAGAAAAGTTATAAACGTCTAGCGCCTGTGATTACTGACACGTAACTGGCGTTATTCATGTTCCGAGATTACTTACACGTAAGTGGCGTTATACTTTGACCCATCCTGCCATAACCACGTCCCTTCGTGACCAGCGTCCCTCAGTCCCGTCCAGTACGGTCGCCAGGTCGGCAGCTGAATTACTCTTAACCACGCCTAAATAAAGGAGAAACAAGCTAATGCCTAGTTGAAAAAAACCTTTTCCATTACAGCCTTTAATTTGCTTACTAAAAATTAGAGATATTACCTAATATTTTTTTCTAAATTATCATATGAAAGAATTGGAATTATGATAAACATGTGATTTCTTACTCCTTAAATCTAAAAAAATATATATGCTTTCAGTCCATACATTTTGAAGTTTAATTAAGTTAAACAAACAAGTTTAGTTTGTTAAGTTTTGTTGTATACGTTGTATTGGGTTTTTCAAGTTTAATTGTTTATTTTTGTTGTATATGATGTATATATATAATGTTGTATTGTTTTTACGTATTTTAAACTTTTCTGTGATTTTAATAAGTGTGAAAAATCAGAAGCAGTAGTCAATCTCAGAGAAGTTAAAACAACTCACATTTTGGTTCTTATCATCAATTTTTACTAGATCCGCGCCTGCTTTTTGGCATTTCGCTCGAGCGTCACTCCAAGAATATCCCTGTCCGCTTCCGAAAAGATAACATCTGCCCTCGGCCCTCTTCCACGGTCCGCATCCAACGTCTATGTAATCTGTGAATTAGAAAAAGTATATTTTACAAATTGATAAAATATGACAAAAATTGAGTTTAAACGGCTAATAGTGTCACAGTATTTATTATAAAGATATTATAATATACTAGGGGGTCAAAAATTCAAGCGAGTTTGGTGCCTGTGTATAAGATAATGATTAAATTTCAGGAGAATAATCCGAAACCCAAAACACAAATTTGTACTTTAAATTTAAACTGTCATCGAAAAAATATCATATATCGTGTTCTATATATAAAGGTATTAATATATTTTACTTTGCACAGAGTTTGCTTCACAGATGTAGAACGCCCTCGTCGTACAAGTGACGTCATCAACGGATCCCCCAGACCTCATAATGGCGCAGTTCTGACGTTCAGAGGCGTCTGAGCTCGGCGCCTTATCCCAGGTTCTAAAGATGTAAAATTCACGTTTTCAATATTTTCATTTTAAGTTTGATTCCTGGTGAAAAGAAAAGGTTCAGAAAAGGTTCAGAAAAGACTTTTTAGCCCGCTGTTATTAGGCTAAAAATTTTGCTTTACTCAACATATTTCAATTTTCATTGTAGATGTTGACATTTGCATGCAAGGAGAAAGCGATAAGAAGTCTTGCCCAATTCAATTTGATTCATTTATTACAACTAAAATTAAACAAATATTATAATGGATGCAACATGATATACTTAATAATGAATGAATTTTATGAAGGGCTACTATGTGCAATCATGATACATGAATATCATAAAGTTGTTGTTGTTGGTTTGTTTGTTTGTTTGTTTTTTTGTGTTTTTTTTGTAATGAAATTCAATTTGAGTTAATTGAATTCTCATTATCAGTCAAGGAATTATTTTACATGAACTTTTTGACATACGAAAAGTCGTTTATATAATAATTTTAATTTGTGAAATTTTATATATGATTCTGTCACCCTTAGCAGTGCTTTGTTTTATTCCTCTCGGTGTTCAAAGTGAACAAAGTGCGATACAATGGTTATCTATGGAGTTCAAAGCAGAAGAACATTTTAACTTGTAGGTTGACACAAACTTACAAAACAGAAGTCTCACTGGCTGGCCCGAACTTTCACAACATAAAGTATTGTAGGCTGACCCAAACTTACACAACAGAAGTACTGTAGGCTGACCCAAACTTACACAACAAAAGTAATGTAGGCTGACCCAAACTTACACAACAGAAGTATTGTAGTCTGACCCAAACTTACACAACAGAAGTATTGTAGGCTGACAAGAACTTACACAACAGTAGTATTGTAGGCTGACAAGAACTTACACAACAGTAGTATTGTAGGCTGACAAGAACTTACACAACATTAGTATTGTAGGCTGACAAGAACTTACACAACAGTAGTATTGTAGGCTGACCCAAACTCACACAACAGAAGTATTGTAGGCTGACAAGAACTTACACAACAGAAGTATTGTAGGCTGACCCAAACTTACACAACAGAAGTATTGTAGACTGATCCAAACTTACACAACAGAAGTATTGTAGGCTGACCCAAACTCACACAACAGAAGTATTGTAGGCTGACAAGAACTATTGTAGGCTGACAAGAACTTACACAACAGAAGTATTGTAGGCTGACAAGAACTTACACAACAGAAGTATTGTAGGCTGACAAGAACTTACACAACAGAAGTATTGTAGGCTGACCCAGACTTACACAACAGAAGTATTGTAGACTGATCCAAACTTACACAACAGAAGTATTGAAGGCGGACCCGAACTTACACAACAGAAGTATTGCAGGCTGACAAGAACTTACACAACAGAAGTATTGTAGGCTGACCCAAACTCACACAACAGAAGTATTGTAGGCTGACAAGAACTTACACAACAGAAGTATTGTAGGCTGACAAGAACTTACACAACAGTAGTATTGTAGGCTGACAAGAACTTACACAACAGTAGTATTGTAGACTGATCCAAACTTACACAACGGAAGTATAGTAGGTTGACCCAAACTTACACAACAGAAGTATTGTAGGCTTACACAACAAAAGTATTGTAGCTGACCCAAACTCACACAACAGAAGTATTGTAGGCTGACAAGAACTTACACAACAGAAGTATTGTAGGCTGACACAACAGAAGTATTGTAGACTGATCCAACAGAAGTATTGTAGGCTGACAAGAACTTACACAACAGTAGTATAGTAGGCTGACTTACACAACAGAAGTATTGTAGGCTGACAAGAACTTACAACAGAAGTATTGTAGACTGATCCAAACTTACACAACAAAAGTATTGTAGGCTGACCCAAACTTACACAACAGAAGTATTGTAGTCTGACCCAAACTTACACAACAGAAGTATTGTAAGCTGACCCAAACTTACACAACAGAAGTATTGTAGGCTGACCCAAACTTACACAACAGAGGTATTGTAGACTGATCCAAACTTACACAACAGAAGTATATTGTAGGCTGACCCAAACTCACACAACAGAAGTATTGTAGGCTGACACAACAGAACTGACCCAAACTCACACAACAGAAGTATTGTAGGCTGACAGCAGTATTGTAGGCTGACCCGAACTTACACAACAAAAGTATTGTACGGTGATCTGAACTTACACTACAGAAGTATTGTACGATGACAAAACTTACACAACAGCAGTATTGTAGGCTGACAAGAACTTTCACAACAGAAGTATTGTAGGCTGACACAACAAAGTATTGTAGGCTGACAAGAACTTACAACAGAAGTTACACAACACACAACAGTATTGTAAGCTTACACTAAACTTACACAACAAAAGTATTGTAAGCTTACCTAAACTTACACAACAGAAGTATTGAAGGCGGACCCGAACTTACACAACAGAAGTATTGTACGGTGATCTGAACTTACACAACAGAAGTATTGCAGGCTGACAAGAACTTACACAACAGAAGTATTGTAGGCTGACGAGAACTTACACAACAAAAGTATTGTAGGCTGACCCAAACTTACACAACAAAAGTATTGTAGACTGACCCAAACTTACACAACAAAAATATTGTAGGCTGACCCGAACTTACACTACAGAAGTATTGTACGGTGATCTGAACTTACACAACAGAAGTATATTGTAGGTTGACAAGAACTTACACTACAGAAGTATCGTAGGATGACCCAAACTTACACAACAGAAGTATTGTAGACTGATCCAAACTTACACAACAGAAGTATTGTAGACTGACCCAAACTTACACAACAAAAGTATTGTAGGCTGACAAGAACTTACACAACAGAAGTATTGTAGGCTGACCCGTCCTGCCAGACATAGGTGCCCTCTTTCTGCTGGTCATTCAGGCCTGTCCACCACGGGATCTGTATGTTTGGATTCTGTGTCGACAATGCGAACTGAAGGGACGCCTGATATAGAAAGGGGGAAAGATGAAATGGTTAGAAGGTACATGTTAAAACACTTAAAATGGCAGGCTTATTTGGGAAGAGATAAAAGAACAAATTTGATACATATACTAACAAGATAATTTAAAACTCTATACAAATGTCATACTAATCGGAGTGCTTCAAAATACAGAAGTAACGGCAATGGACCATAAAGGTCACCAAATTCAAATAATTAGAATTTTTAATTGAGTCCCTTTCGAATCGACTCAACTGAAGTCAAAGGACAAATATATATTTTAGTTTTTGTTGTATATATGTTTAAAGAAAATAATTTTAAAAAAAAATATAGATGTGTTTTTTGAAAAATCGGTTTGACATCTCACCGAAGGTTAACTTTTCTCAAATGCATGCCCTTTCTTGATAAGATTTTTTTTTTTACTCTTGACACTGACCTTGGTATTTAACTTAACCTTAAACATGGCTGGCAATAAGGGGGAATAACTGTTTTAGAAACATTATCTTGTTTATTATTACTCGTATTAAAGAATGAATAAGTATTATACTTTTATGTTACTACTGAGTAACTTAATTTGAATCCCTTCACTATAAATAGAAATATTTTGTCTCAATAATTGAATGAAGAATTATTTATCAATACATGCAAAATTGGGAATGCTTTCTTAACAAGAATACTTTATTTTACAAAAGGTGTATCTAAAATAATATTCCATGGTTTGCTGTATATCTTTTGCATGTTCTGAACGCACTTGTTGCTCTACCTATATTTGAATAACTTAAATTTTATCAATTTATAAATTTATTTGTATATCTAAATTTAGTCCGAAATATCTGACGTTTTCCAGACTTTTCACGATTTTGATAATTTACGAGCAAGGATTTCGTCAGAACCGGCACCATAAGGAAAACTGGGAATCCGACGCCTCCAATCGGAGGCGGCATTCTCTGTAAATTTTGTATTTACTGCCACCCGTTAAATTCCAAATCTTCAACATGACACTTGCTTGGGTCGATTTTGATACTTGCAAACCGAATGAGATGTCAGATTCACAACTTTTCAAAGTACAATCTGTAAGTGTTAATACTCACCAACACCAACATCGTTTAAGGTTCATAAACCCTCTGATCACTCATATAAAAAGTTGCCTGAACCTTATTGATTTTCCAAAAGAACTGTTTTTTATAAGTAAAATAAAAACAATTATATATAGCATAGCTTGCGGGGCAAAATTAGACAAAAAAGACATTTCAACTTCAAGTGGCAAATCTATAAAGGAATATTAGACACTTATGTCATTAGGAGTTATCTTGCTTATCAGGGTATCGATGAACCTTAAATTATGGTTAGTTTATAAATATAAAATCCGATGAAAACACTTTATCTGATTGTCAAGATTTGATTTCGTTTTGTGGATTTTAAAATCTTACAGGTCCTGTATCGATATAAGTGACGTTTTCTTTTCATAAATTTTAATGAGTATTAGATCATTGTGCTTTAAAGCCTTTTATAAATTTTGAGTTTGGTTCATAAATTTCCAGTTTTCGTCAGTGCGCGGGTTCTGGCGTTTTCGTGGCACGTAAACTATGAAATCGTCAGATATTTCGGACTAACCTAAAAGTATGTCTTTTAAAAAATAGAAGACATACTTGTAGTTGGGCAAATGTTTTTCTTAATTAAATGTATTTTTATGAAGAATGTCTTCATTTGAAAAAAACAAAATTAAAAAACAATTATCCAAAGGGCATCTTATTCAAAGTGGGCCATTGGTCTTGAAAAGACATGTACATGCAGGAACAAATTTAGAAAAGAAAAAAAACCGGTTTGGCTGCTGTGATTCAAGTAAGCTCAAACCAAATGATACTTGAAGGGATTAGTTGTTAAAAAAAAATCTTTTCTTTTAAGGTATTCAATTTATAACGTCCATTTCTTGTACATAATAAATGAATGGTCCAATATTTATAGTTATGGTAGCATTTTGAAGTTGTTACTAAATAAAAAATGCTCATCCAAATGAATTACAAAATTTTGATTATTGTCCAATTAATTGCACCTTGGATTTTATATTGAAGGCTATGTACAGCGCATGTTTTTAAAGATATTGTAAAAAGTAATTTGAATTTCAAACAAATATTTTGATGAAAATATGTATAAATTCCAGACCTGTTCACTCTTACGATTTCGCCGTATTTTGTACGGATTTTTAGTCTAAAATACGTCTCACGTTTTGCCATTATGAAAATACGGAAATCAGAAATACGTTAGTTTGGAATTTAACAGTTAGTTTTCATTATGATCTGTCTTAGTTTCACCCCTATTTATCGCTAAATAAGAGAAAGATTTCAAACACAGAAGCGATGTCAGGTTGCCAAAACGCTTTGGTATTATGAAATGACAAAGACCTTGTTGTTTAACCATGTTTTTGTAATCAGAAAAGCAGTTTTTCTCTTTTTATATATGTAAAATTGATGGAAAGTTAAATCTTACTGGAAAATGCCAAATCTCACGGACAAATCTAATAAAAAATACTGAGAGACAGCGTTATGGGTAAACAGGTTTGAAATTCTCTCTTTATTAAAATATGAAATAAAATACTAGTAAATCATTTACCGCAGAAATTTTGAGAATTAAAAATTTTCTTATTTTCATCAAGGGCAGATAACTCTTAAAAAACTTTTAAGACGCAAAATTACCGGCATTTTACATGTCGTGTCGTGTTAATTAGTCGCGTAAATTTGGTTCATTTTAATTTTATCGTTACTTAGCAACAACTGCATTTTTAATTAGTTTAGATTTATTCAAAATTGATAAAAACCCCCTCATTATACATTGAATACCTTAAGTTCAACTCACCAAATCAATGTAAGTTTTCAATGAAACAAGAGTAGCTGCTGGATTAATAATCTGACATTTTCTTTTGGCATTTTGCCAGGTATAGAGTTCATTGGCATCCAATGGGTTACTGACGTAGATACATACGTTGCCATTGGCGAACATGTGATGCACTTTGCCGCTGTCCGTTGGGCACGCTTGTCCTGTAAAATTTTAATTCTTTTTAAAAAGTGAAAATTTCAGATTATTGTTACATATCCGATGCGATGAAATATTAAAAAAACGATTTTACATTTACAATTTAAATTAAATATTGAAATATTGAAATATCCCCGGGGATATTATATTCTCCATCTAGGGGGTAAGGACATAGCGATGCAATTAAGGATACACTGTTCTTACTACTCAATACGCATTAGTGGCAATTGTAACCGAACTTATAAAGCTTTAAGCTTTTCCCCAGAAAACTGGGATTTCTCATCTAGACCAGGACACCACCCCCCCCCCCCCGGAAATATTCTAAAGTTGATTCACCCTATGGAAATTCCACATCAGAATATATTTCCGGGAATGGGGGTGGTTGGGTGTACATACTCACTCATTATGAAGTGCCATTTCCCCAGAGCCGATTTTCCCGGCCCAAAAAAATATCTTGGCTAAGAGTTGACTGAAATCACAAATTTTCGTAGGGGTTTAACTTTTGGAGGTACGGAGAGACCCACGAAACGTAAAATTCCATATCCATTACTACTTAACATTCCCCAACTACGAAATCAAATCTCCCACAAACCAATATTTTTTTTCTCAAACAATGAAAAATCGACTCCACGAAAATATGTGATTTTACAATATTAATTTTTTTTTTTTAGAATAAAAATGTAAGTACTTTCGGTTAAGAGAATTGTCAAATTTAGAATAATTACGTATTTAATCATCGAGTAGCAAAATTTCAACTCATGGAAAATTGTTAACAATGTACTAGTAATTGGGATCCATTTCGAAGGGGGGCACTTTTGTTGCCCTCTACATCCATACATACATAATTATAGTCATAATATTGTTAGTATTAAAAAGCTGTGATAGAAGGGGATAGATCTTTCTCTGAGAAAGAACGAGGGAAAAGTTTGGTTCGATTCGGAGATTTTCCTACCATTTAGTACAGATTCCGGGGAGGGGGATAACCTAGGTAGGAGAAAATCCTACTCCACAACTCCAGTATACAACTACCGGTACCTTCAGTAGCCAGGAACTTACTTTATATGTATTTATTACGATATATATGTACAGTGTATATTACTTAAGGAAGTTGAGGTACTGTGAGCAATGAGCTCCCTAAATGAAACCCCCCGCTTCTCATATTGATACAATGGCAGTGTCCATGTTTTGCTTTGGGAAACCTAAAATATCTTTGGATCAAAAAGTAAAATAGAAGGTGCACAATGGCAATATGTAATAAAGATTCTGTGAAAGTTTCATCAAATTTCATTAAGTGGTATGAGAGGAGTTGCGGATAAAAGATGGGAGTTGCGGATAAAAGATGGGTACCCCAAAGCGTAACAAACAGACGGACGGACGTACAGACGGACGGACATACCGATTACTACATACCCTCCCGCTTTTCAAGAGGGGGTATAAATATATATATATATATATATGAGAATACCTTGGGGAGCTGTATACTGACAAATGTATCCGAACTTCGTGTCACAAAACTCGTCCGAGAAGCGGCCATATTGGTTTATGCTGCAGCAGTCCTGGTTATCTGCATTGTCTGGTTCATTTTTCCAGTTTCTGGCAAAAAATGATTACTGTCGTATTTTTCCCATATATAGAATTCAATAGAAAAAATATCTACTATTTGCTTGTGTCTTCTCAATAAATGATAATCTGTATTTGGCTTGGCAAGGAACCGCCAATAAAATGAAATTGCTTCCTATGGGCCTGATCAGAACCAAATAAAGTTAATAAAAAAATTATAAGAAGTCTATTAGAACTAAGTTTGTTCATTTGTGCAAAAAGCACATAACTTTTTATTGTTCTCTTATAATTTTCAATATAAAGAGAAAGAAAAAAATAAATAAGAGGTGCTGTGAGCACGAAGCTCACTAAATGATACCCCGCCTTCCATATAATTTTAATGGCAAAGTCCATGTTTTGCTCTGGGAGACCCGAAATAAATGTTAATCAAAAAGTCAAATAGAAAGTGCACAGTGAAATTATGTTATAAAGAATCTATGAAAGAATCATTAAATTTTACTCTGTTGTATAGGAGAAATTGCGGATACGTGATGGAAACCCTTCAATTTATATGAAGATTGGCATTGAGACAGTGCCCATGTTTTGCTACAAAAAAAAACAAAATATGTGTCGCATCAAAATGTAAAAATACATGTAAGCGGTGTGCACAATGGCATTATGTAACATAGATTCTGTGACAGTCTCATTGCGTACAGACAGATGGACGAACGGACATCCCGATCACTATATACTTTTACCCTCCCACTTTTCAAGCCTGGAATGATAAAAATTATACATTTTGCGGTTTTTCACCCACCTTAACTAACTGATAGATTAATCAGATAACTTTAACTATTTTTTTTTCAAATCTAATAAGTGAGTTGTGTATTGACCCCAATCGCATCATCTCGGGCCTTTCCGTCAGAGGTCGGAAAACCCGATAGGCCCCTGCATGTTACACCGGTAGGAATGGTCCATTTGTAAAGGGGGATGTCAGTATCAATCTCGTTTTCAATATTATCATTGTGACGTCATAATGATTAAAACGTCACAATCTACTGGCAGTAGTTTTGTGGTTATTGTGTTTCTCCGAGAATATCGGTGATTTTCGTGCCAAACGTTTTTCATAGATTTTATCTGTGAAATATTAACATCGACTGGAATATAGTCTTTCAAGACAGATAGCATATCCGCATAATGTAAGTAGTAATACCAACCTTTGTTAAGCTGCAATAATTGTTATTATATAATTTCAGTAAAACACAGAGTGCATATATTAAACAGTTTAAAAAGAGCATCCCATGAGTTTTAGATTCCTCTGTGTTTCCCGTATTTCAAGTTCAAATTATTTTTTTTTTTACACATTTAGAAAATGTTTCCTGGATTTTCTTGGATGATCATGGGAGTGATGGAGTTACAGAAATGGTGGGGAAAGAAAAGTTAGTACCGGTGTAAAGACGAATAATGACCCCCATCGAATAATGACCGGGGGTCATTTTTCAACGACAAAAAATGACCCCCTACCCGTAGAAAAAAGTCATTTTTTGTGGAAAAGGTGTCCTAGGGGTCATTATTTTATATGTTAGTCCTATATAAAATTGACCCCCATTGAAAAATGACCCCCTTTAAAGTGAAAAGAGATTCTTTAATTGTCAAGTAAATAAAATTTCTTTTTAATATTTCTCCTTATAGTGTTTGCTTAAAGAATGATATTCCACTTGTTTTTAGAAATCAAACCATGCAACAATCAGTTTCCAATACTCTTTAATAGAAAAATTAATTTTTCCTTCATTTCAACTTTTAGCTTGTATAAGTTTGGCAAATCCTATTTGACAATGAAAGAGGAGGAAATTTTAACCCAACCCCCCCCCAAAAAAAAAAACGTTAAATCAAAACAAACAAAAAATAAATGAAAAGCAAAAATATAAATAAAACTCTATACCGTTCAATAATACTGAAAGAGGCTCTAGATAAAATATTGAAAGAAGTTAAGCCTTCACACAATTTCTATCATATCATAATTTACTTCGCTATGATTAAAGCATACTTTAAATGTTGGTGGGGATATACTTGAAAGTATTGTGGCAGAGTAACAGTTGAAAATTAGTAGAATAGTAGATTATTTTAAGCTTATTTTTAGTCCCTCCTTATAGAAAAATAAAGGTAGGGTAGTTTTTTGTTGATAATCAATTTCCTCCTAAATTAGTAAGGGCGTGGGGTGGGTATAACACCTAAAAATATAATCTTCTGTAAAGCTATGGGCTAGTGTAAAATACACATTCTAATGCAAAAACTATACATGTACACATAACCTTTTGATTTAGCACACAGTATTCATTACATTTCTTAATTCTTGTTTTACTCCACGATTTTACCCAGTTCTGAGTATATTTTTCAGAGATCAGAACAAACATTTTCATTTTTGTAACCTCTTCTTTATACTGCATCATAATATGAAAATTGAAGACCATTTCTTTTTATGTCCCTGTAATCGAAGATTCGGGGGTATATATAGTTTTATTGTGTCCGTCTGTATGTCTGTCTATCTGGCGGTCTGTTTCTCCGCAAAATCTTTAACCTTTACCATAACTTTTCATTTATTGTAGCTATGTCTTTCATATTTAATATGTGTACATTCCTTGTGACAAGACCTTACTTTGGGTACCACCAAATTTGACCTTTTGACCTTTACCTTGGAGTTTGTGCCATTTTACACAAAAATGCCAAATTTTTAATTAATTTACTTTGGCTATAACTTTTAGATGGTAGATACCAGTACTCTTATACTTCACAAATGTAATCCTTGTTACATTAAACCTTTCTTAAGAAACCATCAACTTTGAACCTTTGACCTTTGAGTTTGATCAACCTTTCAAACACTTATCCTTAGCCATTAATTTTGAACAAGTAGTGATAGGGCTTTCCTATTTTGCAATTGTACTTCTTGTGAGAAGACCCTACTTTTGGTTCCATTGTATTTAAATTGCCTTTAAGAAAGGTTTAATCTTCGCTATATTGCCGGACAAGGGCATAGCTGTTTTACAAATACATCTTTTTATATATAAGAGGAGTTGCGGATAACAGATGGATACCCTAACCACTATATACCCTCCCGCTTTTCATGCGGAGGATAAAATAATATATGATACTGCTGATTTTTCCTGTCAGTACTGTAATGAGTAATGAATAAGGCAATGGGCCTATACCATTCAAACGCTTGTGTGATCTGGACAAATGGAACAGTCCAGGAGCCTGTTCACCCCTGTTTGAATGGTATAGCCCTTGGCTATATAAACGACTGCAGAGGCAGTCTCGCTCGATCTCTCTCTCGGAAACCCACAGAAGAAGCAAGAAGCTGAATAGAAGATTATAGGTAGTAATAAAATCAAGAAGTATTTAAAGGGTAAAAGAAGGATAAGTAAGGCTAGGGTACAGAGCACCGGTCTGTATTTAGCCAAGGAATTGAATTGAAGCACAAGGTGTAGTAATCCTGAGTAAGGGTGAGGCACCGAGTGCTCAGTTTAATAGGAACTTGGTTACGGAACCAGGTGCAAGGAGCCCAGTCATAGTACCCGGTTACAAAGGACCTCTAATCGTATCCCGCTGTTTAAATTAAAAAAAGGACAAGCATCCCCTATAAATGACGAATAACAATTATTTTTGTATATAATATTGATTCCCCATATTAATTATAGGCTCAGATAGAGCCAGAGGAAAAGTTTATATATATTGGACCCTGTATCTCCTGAAAACGGACCCTAAATTTGGTTACCCGTTACATTTTGGTGGCAGCGGTGGGATATAGGGTACATTTAATTATTAGAATCTGTTGATGTAAGTTTATTTAACGGGGTGAACTGTGTTCTGTCACCGGGTTCTCGTGAACGCAGTTCTGTTACTTGGTTCAGATACCAGGTACAGAGTTCTGTGTGCACTCTGTTAGGTACAGTAAGATTTAATATAGTAGAGAACCGAGTATTTTTGTTTGGTTACTTGGTATATAGAAATTAAACATGAAGAAAGAACAAGAATCAGAACTGTGGGCAGATCTTGAAGATATTGACGTTAGACGACGACAATTAAGAGAAACGTTAGAAAAGTTAAAGTCTACGCCAAGTTCATTTAATGTTAGTAGGCCCTCCTTAGTAACTGATTCTGGTGTAGAATTGGGGCAAAAGACTACTGACGACAGTATAGATGAGTTGATGGGTAAAGTTGACATAAACCCCACCACCAGACCAAGTAATGTGAAAGGAGCTATGGGTGGATACGAAGAATACAAGACCCAAGCTTATGATTTCCATGTTCCTGGAAACAAAGATATTTGGGGAAGAGGCGATGTTTATACCACACCAAAGTCGGCGTACACAGCAGTGTCACTGGGTAAATCAGCATATACTCCTCAAATTTCAACGCCACATGTACACTGGAGTACATTAGGTGTAAGCTCAATGTCAACACCCACAAGTGTTACATGGAGTTTTGCAAAGGACAGAGAACCTATGCCGACTGTACCAAGTACACCATTAAGTGCAGCATTACCAGTGAATGAAAACAGTGGTTATTGTCCTAGCACTACATGTAACACATTTGGTAAAACTGTGATGAAGCCTGCGACATTTGATGGTATCGGGTCCTGGATTGATTACAAAGCTCATTTCGAGGCATGTAGTAGCATCAACCTGTGGAATGATAGACAAAAAGGCTTGTACCTGGCAGCATCATTAAGAGGCCAAGCACAAACAGTTCTTGGAAATATGAAGACAGATAATGCTTGTGCATATAGAGATTTGTGTGAAGCATTACAGGCTAGATTTGCACCGACTAATCAGACAGAACTTTAAGCTGATACAAAGGTTCGGGAAGATTTTAAACAATTACGAGATGAACTTCGGTCGTAACTGCGAGACCTCGAGAACAAAATAGCCACTTTGTCAGAACGCAAAGAGACCAGTAGACAACCAAAATCTGATATATCAAGTTCGATACCAAGTTCCGATCAAACAAAGTTCCCTTTTAAGTGCCATAACTGTGGTAGGCGAGGCCACAGGGCTAAAGACTGTTATGTTAAAAGGAGAACAGAGATCAGTTGTAAAACTTGCAATGTATGCATGGCGACCCCAAAGGAGATAGTTGATCAAAAAGAAGTAACCGAGGCTAAGCCAAAGAAAAGAAAGTCGAATAAGAGTTCAGTCACTCAAACAAGAGTTGATGTTCAGTCTGGGTTATTTATAAAGGCTAGTGTTAATAAGGTGCCTTGTACATTGTTAGTGGATACTGGGGCTACACTGACGATTTTGTCAAATAAAGTATTTGAGAACATGCTTAACACTGAAGCTGTGGAAATGTCATCCATAACTCAGAAGATAGTATTAGCCGATGGAAGGTCATTGGATGTGCAAGGTAAGTGCACATTGGACATTATATTGGGAAATCAAACGTTTACTTTTGATGCAGTTGTAACAAATATAGAAACAGACGGTATCTTAGGTTTAGATTTTCTGTAATATATTAGATGTTTGGTGGATGTTTCCTCAGGGAAAATGTGTGTTGAAGGAGCTGAGGTTGAACTCCAATTAAAGGACCAGTTAGGGTGTTTCAGAGACAATGTGAATGAGAAAACATCGATTTCACCTAGGAAAGAAAATATATGTACTGAACAATTACTTGCGCTAGGTGAGATAAATGAATGTAGATTTAAGTGTAACCAGTGTGACAAGGCATTTGCCAACCATTCACGTCTAAGGAGACACCAGAAGAGGTTACACTCAACTACTGGTTTGCAAGATGGAGAAAGAAGTGTTCCATTGAACTCCAAGTCGGATGTTGTAGATGACCATGATAGAAATTCTGAATGGCAAGAGGATCCATGTGATTCAGTTTATGTGAAGAAACTTGAAGTTGGTAGAACCATCAGGAAGAAAACTTCGCCCAGTCTCCCTGGAGTCAAGCGCAAGGCAGACGAACTTGTAAACAAGGTGCCTGACCAATCTGAAGACAAAGGTTCAAGCCTGGTAGATGATGGTAAGGATCATGAGGCGCCCATGGTTTTACATCACTGTCCCTGCTGTAAGGATCATGTTACTAGGATGGATGTCAGCACTCAGACGGACACAAGTCGTCACCAGAAGACAGTCAGAGTAGTGAGAAAATACCAAAAGGATGGTGAATGTGTGGAGAGAGTTGAGGAAGACATTTGGAATGACTAATTATAGTGAAGTACTTTGGAAAAGAAACAATGTACATGTACATAAGTCTATTGTTGTAAATACTTGAATAATTGTGTAACTATGTATAAGAAAGGACCTCTTAACCGCGTTTTCTTGATCTTTTTATTGTCTTAAAAAACAAGGTAACCAATGAACATGCGGGACGCAAGTATACAGAGGCGTGGGTAGTGTAATGAGTAATGAATAAGGCAATGGACCTATACCATTCAAACGCTTGTGTGATCTGGACAAATGGAACAGTCCAGGAGCCTGTTCACTCCTGTTTGAATGGTATAGCCCTTGGCTATATAAACGACTGCAGAGGCAGTCTCGATCTCTCTCTCGGAAACCCACAGAAGAAGCAAGAAGCTGAATAGAAGATTAAAGGTAGTAATAAAATTAAGAAGTATTTAAAGGGTAAAAGAAGGATAAGTAAGGCTAGGGTACAGAGCACCGGTCTGTATTTAGCCAAGGAATTGAATTGAAGCACAAGGTGTAGTAATCCTGAGTAAGGGTGAGGCACCGAGTGCTCAATTCAATAGGAACTTGGTCACGGAACCAGGTGCAAGGAGCCCAGTCATAGTACCCGGTTACAAAGGACCTCTAATCGTATCCCGCTGTTTAAATAAAAAAAAGGACAAGCATCCCCTATAAATGACGAATAACAATTATTTTTGTATATAATATTGATTCCCCATATTAATTATAGGCTCAGATAGAGCCAGAGGAAAAGTTTATATATATTGGACCCTGTATCTCCTGAAAACGGACCCTAAATTTGGTTACCCGTTACAGTACGATGATTTCCACCATCGAAAAACAATGTTTACCTAACCCTTTAGGCTCGATAAATCTTTACTCCTTTAGATTCTGAATCATCGCATTGACCTTAAAATATAGCTATAATCGTATGTTATAAGATCAACATATCATCAACTTATTCCAAATAAGCTCAGGTGAGCATTCCCTAACAAGAAAATACTATAATTAACTATAGTTATAACTTTGACACTTTGAAAACTTTGATTTACTATAGTGATAACTTTGACACTTTGAATAACTTTATTGAAACGAAAACTTTGAAAAACTTTTGCGAAAACTTTGACTTTTTAAAAATCTTTGGCTAAAACTTTGACACTTTGAAAAACTTTGGAGAAAACTTTGACACTTTGAAAACTTTATCGAAAACTTGGATTCTTTGAAAAACTTTATCGAAAACTTCGACACATTGAAAAACTTTGGTGAAAACTTTGACACTTTGAAAAACTTTATTGAAAACATTGACACTTTGAAAAACTTTATCGAAAACTTGGATACTTTAAAAAAGTTAATCGAAAACTTTGACACTTTGAAAAAATTAATCAAAAACTTTGACATGTTGAAAAACTTTATCGAAAAACTTGGATACTTTAACACTTTGAAAAACTTTGGTGAAAACTTTGACACTTTGAAATAGTTTATCGAAAACTTGGATACTTTGAAAAACTTTATTGAAAACTTTGACACTTTGAAAAACTTTGACACTTTGAAAAACTTTATTGAAAACTTGGGTACTTTTACACTTAGAAAAACTTTATTGAAAACTTTGACACTTTGAAAAACTTTATCGAAAACTTTGACACTTTGAAAAACTTTGAAGAAAACATTGACACTTTGAAAAACTTTAAAGAAAACTTTGACACTTTGAGAAACTTTGACGAAAACTTTGACACATTGAAAAACTTTGAAAAACTTTATCGAAAACTTTGACACTTTGAAAAACTTTATTGAAAACTTTGACACTTTGAAAAACTTTATCGAAAACTTTGACACTTTGAAAATCTTTGGCGAAAACTTTGACACTTTGAAAAACTTTGGCGAAAACTTTGACACTTTGAAAAAACTTTGGCGAAAACTTTGACACTTTGAAAAACTTTGGCGAAAACTTTGACACTTTGCAAACTTTGGCGAAAACTTCGACACTTTGAAAAAATTAATCGAAAACTTTGACATGTTGAAAACTTTATTGAAAACTTGGATACTTTTACACTTAGAAAAAGTTTATTGAAAACTTTGACACTTTGAAAAACTTTATTGAAAACTTTGACACTTTGAAAAACTTTATCGAAAACTTTGACACTTTGAAAAACTTTGGCGAAAACTTTGACACTTTGAAAAACTTTGAAGAAAACTTTGACATTTTGATTTACTATACTGGTAGTTAACTATAGTAAACTATAGTTAACTATAATTAACTATAGTATTTTTTGTTAGGGTTTTGGCCAATATGCTTCTTTATCTAATTTTTGCTCCTAAAAATTTCAGCGTTAATCAACAGGGAGTCATTTTTCTACGGGGGTCATTTTTCTTCACGTGGGTTCTGCAATTTTTTAGGGTGGTGACACTTATTCTACGGGCAAAAGGGTCATTTTTCTACGTCGAATAATGACCGGGGGTCATTTTTTGCTGTCGAAAAATGACCCCCGGTCATTATTCGATGGGGGTCATTATTCGTCTTTACACCGGAACATTAATCATCAATAGTGGAAAAGAGTATTAACCCCCCACCCCCCCAAAAAAAATTGGAATATATGATTTCACCAATTAAATATTTTATTACATGGCTGGTAAATGAAACCTTTTAATTCAAAATGCAGTTCAATCTTAATACATGTACATGTATTTCTATTTCAGATTTTAAAAGACATGAAAAAGGACACATCATAAACCCGGATGATTTGGGAACTGATGTCGATACAGGACTGAATGAAGCGGAGTTTGATCGTTATGTTTCAGACGAAATTGACAATTTGCTTGCCTTTATTCAATCATCCATGTAGATGTTGTTTAACGTATTATGTTTAAATAAATATATTTTATAAACAACATTTTTTTTCTACAGTCACGTTTACGTGTAAGCAGTAAACTATAGTGTTTTTTTTTATTGTTTTTATACAAGAAAAGGGATACCTTAGGTACGGGGGATGTACACAACCCCACTCACCCCATTATTTTGCCGGTATATAGAATATTAAGGCCATAGAAAATTAATTTCTTGGTTCTCACCCCCTTCATCTCTTCCAAGGGTGCTTCATTGACCCTTTTTATTGCTAAATCTATCAAATAAAAACAATAAATCACCCCCCTCATCATTTTTTTAGGTTTTGTACAATGTAAAAAGCTGCCTCATCATGTTTTGGGGACAATAAAAAAGTTTTTTTTTTTTTTTAAATGTCTTCCTCCCTCGTCATATTTCTGAGGACCAAGAAATTAACTTTGCATGGCCTAAGTACTATTGAAAACATAACTACTTCTAGATTAGAAAACTGATAAAAAAAATTGCTTGTAATATAAAAACTTCATCGCGTATGAAATTATGTAAACTTATTGTTAAGCCAGCTGAGTAAAGGTAATTGGGGGAAAGGGTCAGAAAAATGACTAAATTTCATGTAGGTCGGTTTTTTGTAATATTTAACTTCCTTTAGTTATTTTTTGGTTATGATAGTGGTCTACAGCAAGGAGAGGTGTTGACTACCTACATGTTGGACGTTCCTGTTTGCGTAGTCCAGGCCCATCCCTTAGTGGGCGACTTCTGCAGTCCCATGTACCACCCTCCTGTCTTGTACACTTTGTTTGTCTCAGATTCTACATTTACCCAGTCCTGAAGACAAGAAAGGCAAAATTGTTATCATGGAGTTCTTTTGGTATGCTTAAGATTTATATACACGTCGGTTGTAATATTATAAATATCAACAAACGAGTTTTGATGTGATGAAAACCAAATATTTTTTTTTAGATGTTTGTAACTATTTTATAGTAAAAAAAATTAACAACTTTTAACAAGCCATAAAAGATATGGGAGTGTAAAACCATCACATTGTTTAGTAATGTGCATTCATCTGAAGAAACTTCTTTAAAAACAAAAATGATGTAAAGAGTAATTTGGAAATTCTATAAAGAGATATGCATAATTTAATTTTTAGCGACCATTTATCAACGAAAAAGGCTTAAAGACACTGTTGTCTACTTTAAGGTGGAAAATACATATATATTATAAATAATTATTATATCGTAGATTTCCTTAAATCAAGGACTGATCACTCTAACTGCATGAACATATAAGCACAGAATTAGAATTCTTTTAAAAGTGTTTGCATAGTGTATAGAATGAAACAGGTAATGAAAAATATAAATAATTGAATACTAATTCAACTAAACGTGACTTTAGAAACCCATCCACCACACCTACACAAACGGGGAAACTGGTAGAAGTGATCGGCCACCCCCACCCCCCACCCCCCTCCAAAATGGGTATTTTACATTTGAGACTGGGGTCTTTTTTTATTTTTTGCTTGTCAAGAAATTACTGGGTTAGACTTTTATAACACTGAAAAATTACTGGACCCATGCCTGATTAGGTAAGCTTATTTAAAATTACCTGTTCAGCATCATCGTTGATAACAAGAAGGTCTGCGTTCATGAGATTACATTCCTGTAAAGCTCCAGCATAGGTCTGGAGATTGTTTGTCTCCCAGAAATAACAGCTGTTACTCCCCTTCCTCTGTACCCACCCATCCCCACACTGCTGGTACTGGCCGATCAGGTCACCTGGGGGAAAATAGGTCAAGGTGTTACATGTATAGGATGATAAAAGATTATAACAACTTTAAAGTGCAGAAAAATTATTCTGAAGCTTTCCTTATGTACTCGTACATATTATACTGTGTTATATTTTAAATGTATAATTTTGAAAAAAAATATTTAACATTAATTTGTTCTTATATTTATTATAACGACATATTACATTATGTATATTTTTAAACAAAAAGTCATGAATTTAAAACTATGTTTCATTTATAGGTAAATTGATGTCATAGGAAATATAGATCAGATATTTATTTAAGATAAAGATTGACATGATTTCATTCATACCTGTCGTTTGAAGTATCCACACCGATAATAAACACCCTGTTAAGAAAATCCATCCCCTCATTTTTATTTCTGTAAATAAATATAAATGAAGATATTAGACCAATATTCTAGAAGATAAAAAAAATAGATCAAGTTGACAAATACTTAAAAATAAACTTTTCTATTACTCTTATTTCAATCAACAGGGTTTCTAGACCACCATCCCCCCACCCCCACCCTTTTACCCGCGCCGGTTTCACAAACAATATCACTGACCATATTTATCCTAAAATCTTGATATAAAATGACATATCCCCCTCCCCCTTTTCACGATCACTACTCCTTTAAGGTCAACTGACTTTTTAAATCATCGATTTTAATAAAGATTTTATAGAATTTCCGTTCACAAAAGGCAAGGTGTTTCAAAAATCCAAAAAAGTTCTGTTTCTTGAGTGTTGAAATTAATGACTAAAGACCGTTCGAATGACTTTTTTGTGCTTAATTTGACACAGGGTCATAGATCGAATACATATGATATCTCCTCAATCCTCCATCCAAACTCGGATATTATCCCACTTTTCGAATCCCCTCCCAATCTCTGAATCTGTTAAACCTTAATATGGTAGTATTCGCGGACGTAGCATCGTTTTTCAAAAGGGGATAGCCAGGAAAAAAAAACTTACTTAAAAAAAAGACAAGCAAAAAAAAAATATTCATACCCTAATGCAAAACCCTTATTTGTGCAACAACAAAAAAAGGGGGGGTGGGGGGGGGGGGGCAAACGACTTTCACAAAAATTGCTTGTTACTCCGACCGTAACATGCAAGACAAGTATATATCATAAACAGTTGTACCACACTGTGCTGTACACATAAGTACACATAAGTAAAATTTACGTTAAATCTAAGTTCAATACAACAAAGAATATTACTAGTTGTTTTTTTTATATATATGGCATTATATGCACAGTCATTGGTTTTACAATTATGTGTTAATTCTCTTACAAATGGAAAATTAAATCAACTTACCTAAGAAAATTAAAATATCTCTATTTCCATTAAATTTATGAAACTTGTTAGGTCATCTATCTCTTTCGAACCTTGAACGGGATGGTAGATAACCGTAATATTGAGTAGAGTCACGGATCAAACAAACAAGGGAGCGGAGTTGATACTACAGGGTTGTCATTCACCCCTCCCCCCTTTTCATCTGTCCAAAAGATAAAAAAAAAATATTTGAGAAATGTATTTTTCTCCCAATTTCCCATTATTTTTTCTGTTTAAATTAAAATCCATAACAGCACAGTATGATATATATATATAGTGATAACATTGTCGTAACGATAACTTTGATAATGTCTTAGTCAAATACATGTAACACACTGTGGATAAAGATAATGATGTCTAAGTCGGTATACATCTAATGGCTGAAAAAATCTATCGGTCAAATAGTTTATAAATAAATATATGAATTTACCAGTATGAAATTAGAATTCGTTTGTATTATACTGTCGCCCGCGTGGCACAGTTGTTAGAGCGTCTGCTCTAGAGTCGCAAAGTAAGGAGTTGATCTTAACGTCGCGGGTTCGAATCCCACTGTGGGACGTGGAGACCGGTCCTTTGGATGAGATCCGTATAAACCGAGGTCCCGTGTCGCAGTATATAGGTGCTGTCACGAAAAAGATCCCTCACTGCTCAATAGCATAGGTCGAAATTTGCAGCTCTCCACAGGCAAGTGGTTGCGTCTCCATATATATGTGTGCAAAATTCTTTTGAGTGACGTTAAACAACATACAATCAATCAATCATGTTCTGTAGATCACTAAATTCGCAACACTTTATTTTCGCGAATTGTGTTCATTACTTTACATAATCTTAAGGAATACTTTATTCTCTTTAGAGAAGTGGACAGGCTTCACCTACATCCACGTACATGTAGGCGAAAGTCTGCACTTCTCTTACGAGAAAAGGAATATTTATATCCGCGAGAATGAATTTTATAGTATATTCAGTCTGGGATTCATCCACGACTACTTCGAAAATGTTCGCAACTGAGGCAACATTCTATGTTAACACATAGATGCATGAAATTGAATTGCGTCGAGAAATATTCGCGAATTTCGAATCAAAATTCAGGTTGTCTGTCGTCATCGTTGTAAACTTTTTTATCTTCTCCAAAACTACAATTGCAAGGTCAACCAAAGTTTGCACGGCTTTTTATTGTAATATTTTGGAGAAATATACACTTACAGTTAAACAGATATTTAAAGAACGTGTCGTAAATTTAAATTAAACCTTACGTTTTTACTGTAAATGAAATGTCTGTAGCAACCGCTAATGATAAAACACCTCTTAGTGAGAGAATTAACATAATTTATTGTCCCCCGCTTTCGCGAAAGCGAGGGGACATGAAATCTCATTCGTCTGTCCGTCTTTCAATCTTTAGTTCTGTCAGTCTGTATAGCTGTCCGTCCGTCACAAAACTTTAACCGTGGTCATATCTTTTGAATGGTAAAAGATAAGGTTTTCGTATTACACATGTATATATATTAGATCTACCTGTGATAAGACCTTTCTAAATACACTATGATTTTTTACCCCGTGACCTTAACCTTGAAGTTTGACCTACTTTTTAAATATTAAAGACTTTAAATCGGCCATAACTTTTGAATGAGAAGAGATAGGGCTTTCATATTAAACATTTGTATTGCTTGTGACAAGATCTTTCTATATACTCTATGATTTTTGATCTTGTGAGATTATCCTTGAAGTTTGACCTTATTTTCAAAAATGTTAAATTTTCCTTGTAACTTTTTATCGAGAAGACTGATGGGGCTTTCATATTTGACATGTGCATTTCCTGTGACAAGATACTAGTATTTCCGAGCATGCTATGATTTCTGACCCCTTGACCTTTATGATTGACCTAATTTTAAAAAAAATCAACTTTGGTGATAACTTCTGAATGACATATGTAAGGCCGTTCATATTTGACACAATGCCATAAAAAATGACATTTCACCCTCAAAGACATCGAAAGCATCATTAAGCTGCGTTTCATCATTAGCGTTTGCTACAAAGGCCACATTCTGTTCCAAGAGAGATAATAAGAAATATTATAGTAGTGAAAAATTGCTGGAGACATTAAAATTTTCTCAAGGATCACTGGCCAGAAATTGAGGCCCCTAGGGTACAATGGGTAATCAAAGCATTTCCAGGTTAGTGCATATACAATTTGATTTGCTGAAATTGAGACCCCTAAGGTACAATGGGTAATCAAAGTTTTATAAGGGGAAAAATATTTTTCATTAAAAAATAGTAAAACATTTGCATGGAAGCATCCTCTGTTAGTACAGATTCAAATCAAACACTGTCCCCCAGGGATATATAGGTGGGGTCACAATATAGGAATAAATATGCTGACAAAGAGCAACAGGGCAACACTATCTCAGGTGAGCATTGTGGCACCAATGCCTGTACCAGCTAACCTGTGAATCAGGCCGAGTCGTCTAGTTGCATGATAATCTGTATCATGCCTAATGAAAAATGAGTCATTGTATTTGATTATGCACAATAGGCAAATTGGTACCAAAACATCAATTAATACAATGATCACAGTCTTTTGTTTTAGTGCAGAAACAAGTTTATATGCAGCAAAATATCCATGTTTTAAAAAAGGAATACAGTCCAAAACCTATGTCTTTCTCAAACTGCAGTCCATCTATTTTTAATTGAAATACATATGCCCATTTTTGCAAACGGAATAAATACAACTTTAAAGTTGGACGGTCCCCTGGATAGTCTGAATCTAAAAACTCAGATAAATAAATTTTACTCATATTTTAAAATATTTATTTCATGTTTATACATTCACACACAAGAAGAGAAAAGTGATCACACACACATACATGCACACACATAAAGCATAGATCCACAAAGCTATTTTTTCTCACTGAGCTTAATTTCACATTTACATCCAAGAACAGGAATGGTGATGATTTTATACAGTAAAATTCATAAACCACACAATCAATGTGATAAAAAAAAATCATACAGTGAGAACTCAATACATTTAAAATATACACTAACATATAACATCATGTTCTTAATTTTAATCCAAATTTTCATCAAAAACTTTAAATAGCTAGTACATGTACTTCTCAGCATTAATTCATTTTCATCATAACCCCCCCCCCCTTCTTTTTTTTTTATTTTCCCTGACCCAGCTCCAAATAAATCCATTTCAAAATACTATTCATTATATAGTAAAGAGAACTTAATCTGACACATGAAATTACCGGTATGCATTTTTAATACAAGTGGTAACAAAGGAACAATACAGGTGCTAACGAAAGGGAAGAAACTCTCTCAAACGTCAAACATCTTTCAATATCAATCACACACTACTCCATGTTGCAACAAAATATCTCCATAATAAATATGACTGAATATGAAGTCAAAAAATACAAAGGAAAAAACTTTCACCTCAAATAAAATTAATGAATTAAACAAAAAATTCTACCTTTATACATTGTCTGAAAATTATTTGTACACAGTAGCTGCTTTACGTATCCCAAGTTCCTATTACTGATTTTTTTAATTTTAATAAAAATTTTATCTGAAAAATCTCTTGTCTCAATTTTTTTTAATCAATTAAGTCACATTTTAGTATGCTAACAATGCATATATCATGTAACATATTTAATTTTTTTTTTCTATTTTCACTTCTTAAATTTTAAGAAACCATACAGTATACTTGAATTTTCTTCTGCCTGAGTCCAAACTTCCGATCTGAATGTCTTCATTTTTCCCCAATATATCAATAACTGGAAGGACCAAATTTTTAATAATATTACCCTATAAAATTAACTAGAACACTATACAAGTTTCTTGGCCTCGAAAAAGCTCTTTAGATGCTTCATCTGCCAGAAACCCGTAATAAGGAGAATGATTGTCTGAGCTATGGACCAATACAGAACTCGCTGGTTGGTGCTTTCTGAGGTCTGCCTGAATCGCTCCTCCCGATACTGAAATATCAACAGAAAGATTACTTATAAATTGTTCATCTGTTTACACAGTAACTTGGAAGTAATACATTAGACACATTAGATATGCAAAGAAGTAGATTCCAAAATCAAGGAATTGCATTGTATTTATTACAGGAGTAGAAGCGTAACATTTTTTTAAATTTATGATTTTTTAATTTCTAATATGCGTTTTGAAAAATCATAAAAAAAAGAAATCTTGTCATTTGAGACAAAATATTCATTTAAATGAACAATAATTCCCTGAAGGGTGAATGGTCGAACTCACTCTCTGATAATTTTGTTCTTTAGTAATCTGCTCCACTTGATCCAGGAGTTGTCGGATTCTCAGCTGGAGCTCAGATAACTTGTCCTTGGCCTGGATCTGGGAGTAATCCACGGCATGCTCTCCCACCTGGATGTCCAGATGTACTCTCTGGAATAGCACAGATATATTAATTATTGTGTCATTGAATGAATTTTCTGAATGAGGCATATCTAAATTCAATCTTCTTCTGCTGATTTGAACATTTATCTAATTATAAATGAACTGGGCTGCAGGCATTTCCTATATAAAAGCCCTCTCTTATGCTATCCCAATAATTTGGTAGCTTCACCATAGATACATGCACATTACAAACTCTTTCGCTGCTTTAACCAAGAATGAAAACAAGGTCCTGGTTATCACTGAAGGTAGATATTTAATTGAATAAAATTCAGGTACTCTTTATATTTAGACTGCTGGAATGCTTCAAAAACAATTCAGAGAAAACTTTTATCAAATACAGTTCAAGTTTCATGACCCTTGTCATTATACCATATCTTATACTGGTCATTTATGTCCGAATGGTCAACTTACCAACTGACCACTGGAAAACCAAGCTGTAGAATTGGAGTGAAGACAGATCACATGTTCCCCAGCATTATGGGACGTGAAAGTGAATCTTCCATCTGCTGCATATGTCTGAAGAATGAAAATAATTTCATTAAATTTTGTGTCAGAAAAGTTTTACATCTTAACAGAAATTTTCATATGTGAATCAACAAAGAATCTTTTAAATCTTTTAAATGCGTAACAGTTAATTGGTAAATGAAAATTATTATAAAATTCAGATTATTTACATGGAAGAGAATGGTTATCATTTTCTGCATAATAAAATGATAAAATAGACAAACTTAATACTTTATCATTTCTAATGTATGTATCGTAATGATTTACCAATCTGCACATATATTAAAAAAGCATGCATGTAAACAAAATATATATAAGAAAAAAACATTATCATGCAAAACAAACTGCCGCAGTTTCCTATGAAGTATGCTGAAAAGGGTTTTTCCTCCCCAGAGAGTTTGTGATAGAAGTCTGTAAAAAAGGAACAAAATTGTGGGGGAAAAATAAAGTAAATCATTGGAGTTTTTTAAAATGCAGCACCAGCTCCCAAGTTTGTACCATTCTATCAAGACAAGAAAAGGAACAGAAAAATATATCTACAATAAATGTCTATAAAATCTACAACCAAGTTTGCCGCTTTTTATTGTCTAATTATTGAACTCAAAAATTGATGTAATATTGACAAAGATATTGCTAACTTAATATGTTATTTCACTTTATTTACACAGTTTTGCAAAAAATATAAATATTGTATAAGAGTATGACTTTTTTTCTGACAGCTATTGAAAGACTCATTTGCATAAACTAACATCTAGTTAGTTACTAGAAATAGTGCATTGATTGAAATGTCAATCTTGTGATTCAACCATTTACATGAGGTGAAAAGCAGTAAAAAAATAATAATTCAAAAGATATACACAAGAGTTAATATATTCATTAATTTTTTGTTAAAAACTGTGCTAAAAAACCACTCTAGAGATATAATCCAGTGTCCAGTAAATGTAGAAGTCAGATTATGTGGGATTTAGATGTGAATTTTGCCGTGGTAATTCACTTCAGCTAAAGCACATGTCATCTTAAGGTGGAAAGTACTGGTCAGAGAAACTAAGCCGCCTTCTCTAACTGCTGACACTCACCCGGGACAGGATAACTTTTTCCTCTGGGTCCTTGACCTCAACCAACATCCCCACCCCTGGGGCAGAGGGCAAATAGTCCTTAATAGAATAGTCATAGGCCTGCACTTTGTATGCGCCTGGAAAAAAGGGGCCAATTAAATTGAATAATCATTTCTCTTTTTTAAAAACAATGCATGCAACTAGTCTGGTTTGACAACTTTATTCTGCTGCAAATCACTGCAAACCGCTTTTTCTAAAAAAATGAAGAAAGCAGGAGACATTAATGATTTTTATAATGGCAGTTTAGCATCCTTTCCATTTTAAAAACTTTTTTCTAATATGATTTTCAGAAAGTTTCATAATAATGCTATTAAAGTGCCATTATATGTCAGCAGTTTTGAAAAATTTGCTGCTTAGACATGGCAAGATTTCAGATCAAACTCAATACAAGTTTATCAACACAAATTGTAAAATATTTGGTAAAATTTTCAATGACACAGACGGATCTGCTTTTCCTAAATTCATCTTTTCCATGATTATAGAGACAATAAAATGTTCATGATTACTGATTAGTTGTTAAATTTGCGCTTAAATCTGATTTTGAAATAAATGTTGCCATGTGCTAAAATGTGATAACATGCATTCGTGTTGCCCTTGCTGTGTTTAAGTTTGTTTCTGCACTTGACCTTACCCGTGACATGACAGTTTTATCTTCTGGGTCTGTAACTTCCACGTGCATACCAAGTCCGTAGACAGTTGGTACATAATCATTGACATTTCTGTCAAACATTTCTACTTTGTAATGGCCTGTAACACACAGCAAAATGTTGAAAAAAAGGTGAAGTAGGTTTAATTTTGCAAAATATAAACACATTTCACTGAATTTTAATATATTTTTTTCAGACTAGAATCTATAACTGTGAAGCAGATGCTTTGTATCATCCTTATAGAGGCCTCTTATACTCAAAATATAATACCTCCTACAAATGTATCCCTGCCTGCCTACAAAGATATACTAGAAGATCTGTTACAAAATATATCCTGATCGTGTTCATCAAGAGAATTTCACGCAATGTATTAGCTTAACAAGATGTGTATTGCAATGGTTTATCAAATGCAAACTAAACCGGCGAGAAATTATACCATACTTTCAAATCAATCTGAAAATAACCAAGAGATGACCATATTTTATACCGAATTGAGCATTATTTTTCAGTAAAAATGTAAAACGTACCGACAACCATAGTTTCATCTGGGATTTCCTCAATGAAACATTTCTTTTCAGTTTCGCCGATATGAAAATATAGCCCTGATGTCAGTGAAAAAACAGAGAAAAGGGCAAATGCCAACATGTTGTTGGTACCCATCTTGGATAAATTGAAAGGAAGTTACACGTTGGCATGCGCACTTGTTCGCCACGTAGCAAAGAATTCTTTGATTAACGATCCCGATGTATATTAAAATTTTTGTTTTCATTTATTTTACAAATCTCTTTGGTGTTTTGCCATAAATCGGGTTTATGTAATATTTATTACTTTTTACTTATAAAATCCATTCTTTTTGCATTATTTTTTGCTGATAAACTTGATATTAATGGTACAGATAAAACATCACTTACTTACCACTTACTTGTACTAGGCCTACATGTACATTGTAGGTATGTAGGCAACCACTCTTTCTAACAGGTTCTGAAAATACTCGCAAAATGTTATTGAATTTAGAAACATTAATGTATAATTTCTTCAAAATCATCCTTTTCCGCAAGACACCACGGATCATTTTTACTAATTAACCCTCTTTATGCCGATATTGTCAGATGTATATATGTATATATAATTGATCTTATTGTATTTGCATATAATCCAATATATAGTTTACAACAAGAACTTAAATTTCTTTATAAGGCAAAAAACAAAAAATAATTTGCATGTATTTTCTCAATTTAGTAGTGCATGTTTAGGTGAGCACTTACATCATTCAAAACTGCCATAAAGAATATATACTGCATAAAACCTAAGAAATATTACAATTATGGAAGTCGTAAAATGAATATATTGCATTGTCAGTTGCGAAATAATGCTAGTAATTTAAATGCTGACTTATTTAATCATTTTTTAAAGGAAGATAAAAGTTGTGACATGTGCGGGTTTAATTCAGAAACATCATATCACTATTTTATGAATTGTCCAAAATACTGTATGCAAAGACAGAACCTAATACAAAAGTTTAATACTTTGCAATTACCAATGCCTTTATGTTTACAACTTATTCTAAATGGAGACAATAATCTTACATACAACCAAAATATTGCAATATTTGAACTTGTTCAAGAATTTATTGCAACTACAAAGCGATTTGCATGATATTCTATCTGCTTTTGTTTTTCAATTGTCAAATCACAAAACCAAAACCTATTTATGTTTTCTTATTCATTTTTTTTTTTTAATTTATACAATTATTAATATAATTGCCAGTCATATATGTTAAAATATGAATTTAAATTATATTATCAGCTCATATATTTCTCTTTTTTTTTGTTCTCCTTAATTTGCCTTGTCATATACATTTCTACTGAATATATGCATGTATTTATTTATATTTTTCAATGTTATATTAATATTTACTTGTACATGTATGATTTTGACCTTGTATTGTGGAAAGGACTTATATAGGCAGTGCCTGCTGTCCAATCCAATTATGTTTATCATAATAAAATATTGTTTAAATTAAATTAGGTGAGCAACTAGGACTTCAGTGCTTTTTTGTCTTTGAATGGCAATTTTCTTGGTGATAAATTTCAGTACTGTATATTAATTAATGAATTTGTCTATTTTGTTATTTATCAAGACAATTTCAGTACTTACTGCATTTGTTTTTAAATCTTCCAAGTGTTTTAATTTTCATTGCTTATAAATAGTGAAAGACCAGTATTTTACACGTGTATTAATTGATTTTAATGAATTACTTTGCTACTCAAAGAGCTCGCAAAAATAACACAGGAAAAGAAACTTTCAAAATTTTATTTTAAAAATTACAATCATTTTTGCAATGAAAGGCAATATGAGTTAAAAATGTAGATATAAGCAATGAATCATTATTTTTTTTAAAGATACAGTCTTAAAACTGCAACAGTGAATGCAAACAATTTTTCTTAAGACTATATCTATCCAAAATTATGATTCATTGCTTTAATAACTCTTTTATTACATAATACATCCGTATGGGTCATGCAATACAATCCCTCAAAAAAAAAAAAAAATAAAAGAGAACAATGAATTATATATACAACAGACATAAAGAAATTTATTCCCTAAATGTTACACAGAAGTGGACCTTTTATTTCTCAATTCTAATGATTGTTTTATAAAAGTGTAAACAGCCGGTTTAATGTAAGATTCGTTAATTCATTTCAATCACGAAATTTCTTGGATAAAAGTAAACCAAGTAACCAAAAAGAAGACATGTTTGACCTAGATAATCTAACTGCCTTAATAACTGTTTCCCATGCATCATTAAAATCATTCAGTTTAAGCAACAAGCCACCTACTAAGTTCAAGATAAGAACACGATCATATTCCTCCCCGATACTTTCTAGAGAAGTCAAAATTTGGCGGCAAAAGAACTTTGCAGACTCTCTGTCGTTTTGCGCAACGCTGACCAAACACTTGAGAGCAAGAGTCAGAGTTTTTGGATGGTATTTGATGCCATCACAGGGTAAAGAATAAGCTTTGATAGCTGCCAGTTCTACCTGAAAAGGGAAAGGAACACAGCTGATTTCTTCCGGCAAAAATATGACGTCTGCTGACAACCAAGATAGCGGTCGAAATTCTATGAATTTGTGGTCTAGTTCGAGCAGATATTCCATATGATCTACATCTTTGCTTTCAAATATCCCTTGCAAAATCCTGTACGTACATTCTACGAACTTTTTCCGCCTTTCAATTTCGACTGGCTTTAATGATCGTTTTTCCAGTTCATCAGAAATGAAGACTAAGAATTCTTCCTCCAACGCTGACATTTTCGCTTTAATTTCTTTGTCTAGAAAAACAGCATTTTCATGATCAATTTGTTTTAAAATCTCATCGGCACGATCTAGCTCTTTCATCATCAACTCAAAAATCGCAAGCCTGAGTTTTGGGGTGATGGAATGACCTTGAAAGCCTTTAACAAAATTATCTCTTGCATCCTCTACATACAGATTTTGAATTTCAAAGTCTTCCTCGTCCACTGGGGTCATTTTGGATATTTCTGTATGATGAAGGATTCCTATAAGAGAATGGTTCAGTCTTACAAATGGTCTAGCATACAAACTCTGAAAAGGATCATCATTCATAACCTGTAGGTATTCCATGAGGCTCATGTTGAAACCCATTGATTTGTTGACGTTGTAATGTCCCAACACTGTTCTCCAGAATTTCACCCCCGACATAGAAACCAGCTCGTCAAATTGTCTAGAACAACACATGAACCATTGGAAGCTCATGTGACAACGATGAAGATATTCCAGATCTAAAGAGTCCAAGCAAGTATGAAGTCGGTGAATGGTGGGACACTTTTGTAAAGCTGAGAGGGGGTCACCTAGAATCGATGTTATGACGTCACTTAACTTTTGACACGTATCCTCTGTAAAGACCTCTCTATCCAATAAATTAAGACTTTCCATAAAATAATGTGGACAATGTCTGTTGTTCACAAACTTCAATAATTTTGTAAAGCAAAATTGTACACATTGCAAGATGTTTTCTGTTGACCAATCCGTTGGTTTCGTTTCTTCAAGAACCCATAACATGGTAGTCTTCAGATGATATGACGTCAGAGTCTCTTTTTCAAAATATTTAGCTACCATTTCTTTATTAAGAAATTTCAATAACGCGAAGCATTTGCGTTGACAATCATTAAGCAGCCACATCAGCCTTCGTTCTGATTTTACAAAAGAGTATCGCCATTCGATATGTTCTGACTCGCTCCCCGGAAATCCAGTGGGGACTAAATGGCAACCTTCGTTCGTTATTATAATTACGAGTTCTTTGGTAGGCCATATTCTTTTTCTCGTTGTCCAGTTCTGAGCATATTTTGGCCAGAATCGACAAGGGAATCCACAAACTAAATCTCTTTTTGCAAAGCCAACATTTGAACAGTTAAACACTACAGTACTTGCTGGGCCGTGTCTTTCAAATGACACATATTTTTCATTTTTGTCCTCAATTTCTCCTACAATTTTTCGATGTGATGGCCCAAGAGTGGACAGAGCTTTCGAACTCGATAAGAATAGGCGATTTTCAACTTTCACAACCAATTTCGATGTTAGAGCCAGTTTTTCGTCAATCATTGCCTCCAATTTCGTGTAACCCGGTGGCACATTCTCATGACAAATCTGAACAATAAAAGGAATTTTGGTATCCAAGTCTTTTACATCCTCCCCTTGGTCTACTATATATAGTATTCGATCGAAAGAAATTGTAATGTCGAAATCGGCTTTGGATGTTTTCAACACATAGTCGCCACTAAACCCTTCCGCTGAACTTCCAGTGTACACTGTTGAGAATTTGGGAACCAACGTGGCGTTTTTAATTCTCTCGGATGCAAGAACCTCAGCTTGTTTCATTTTAGAAACAGGCTCTTCGAATCCCAACGCTGTCAAAATCAACTCCATTTCGCGATCCTCGTCATGTTGAGCCATTGCTGTCTGTATTGATTTAAATACACTTTGCAGTTCACTGGTTATAAAAAAGCTTTTGTCAATATTTTATGGTTGCTTGAAATAAATTGTTACTGGTAAATATAATCTAAAAGGTTTTAAATACCGTGTTTATAACATGCAATCAAAAAGAGTGGGATACACGAATCTGTGAAGAGAAATACGGTCTTCTATTTTTCTGAATATTGCTATTAAAATTGAAATAAATACGTGCATAATTAACATAGCTGACAACTTCTCTGAAAATGTTTTTTTTAATTATTTTTCTTCTTTAACTTTTTATAAAACATTTCTTAATATATTTTTGTGCATATGAATTTGAAAATACATATGAGGGGAATGTGGTACACATGTATTATGAAACGATTAATTAAGTAATCAGTCATGCAGAACGTCTTGAAGTTCACCGATCTGCGTGTATTCAACTTTTATGCAAAGAGTATGTATTATTAATACATGATCAAAAGAAAATCATTCGTTTTTCCAACTTGAACTGTCCTCTCCAGTCAAAAGAAAATTAATGATTAATGCAGTGAAGATGGAATAATTAGTAGTTAAATTTAATGTTAAAAAAGGACTAAGCATATTGGTATAATGTATATATAATTTGTTGGTCAAAATATATACGACCCAATTATATAGGGTGTAATTGCTAACAAGGTCATTAAAACGCAATCGTAGAATTTATGGAATACAGACTTGAAATCCATATAACATCGAACTATTTGTCAGTAGACTTCCTTGGTTTAAAAATTGTTTGTATATACTCAAGGCATTTCTTGAGTACCGAATACGTAATGGGAAACATAAACATCATATGCAGGTAAAAGTGGAATATAACAACAGAAATATTAACAATGGGAATGGACTTGACAGTGTAAAAGCTGATCTCATTTGTGAGACAGTGTATTCGTAAACTGGTCTTTATCAAAAGAATATAAAAATAGATCGGATTATTAGGAGCACAAATAATGCCCATCGATATTCCAAAATAACAGATTGTCGGGAGACCTTTTTTTTCATAAATGTTTTCAGTAAGGATTTTCAACATCCTTTTGATATTAACCCCAAAGTATACTAATACGTTAAATCATAGCTCTTTAATAGTAAACAAAAGATGATTTCAAGTGGTATTTATAAATTAAATAAATACAATCTTCAACCACAGTCTCTCTCCCACTCTCTTAACACGATATAATACCAATCCCAAACCGTAGTTTTTCCAACTTAGGGGACAAACTTTCTAAAGCGGAAAAGAACCTGACTCAGTTGCGTCAACTTCCCTTTTTTCGTTTTGGAAAGTTTTCTTTTTTGCTTTCAAAAGTCCGAAAAATGACGTTTTGGAATTGGGTGGGTTATTATTGGGGTCTGGGCGCTTAAAAAAATACTACATGTACGTGGACTGAATTGACTTTGTGAATAAAATCTATTCAAAGGATTCTAGCTAAGATGTGATTTTGCATTACTTTGCATAAGTCATCGGGGCACTTAATATGATGCATTTAGATTGTGACGTCACAGAACGTAATTTTTCACTTCAAACGTAACGGTGCGACAATGAATAGGTAAGCTACAACATTTCTTATTGTTTTCATAATACATGCTAAATGTATAGACGTTTTTGAAATTCTATTACGATGTGGGAAACATGGAGTAAATAGTATAATTTTTAATTATCAAATTATGCAGAAGGTTTAGGGTTGTCTTGGTTCCAGTTTTTCAATCCTTTTCAGAAATCTGGCACCCCGCCCCCCCCCCCCCCAAAAACCTTTTACGTTAAATGTATCAAATTATTTTAGCAGGGTGCTAATTTAAATTTTGGTTTATTTTAGCGGTTTTGTAGTAGCCAGCTAAAATATTAATCGCTGCATTTTTACCCTTCGGTATACATGTATCAACTTAATGAAACCAATCCTAAAGAATATTGGAAACTGGTTAAATCTTTAAGAAATTTTGTAAAACACAAAAGAAAATTTAGAAAAGTCAGTTGATGAAAGTACATGGTTTAACTACTTTACTACTTTATCCAAACTACCAGAAAAGTACAAAGGAAGAATCAACACAATTGAAACTAAAATTAATGAATTATTAAACAATAAGGCGGCTACCTTTTTTAATAAACTGGATTTCAGGATATCTGCACCTGAAATCCAAAAAGCCATCAACTCCTTAAAGTCTGGGAAAAGCCCTGGCCTGTCAACATCTCAAATGAAATGATAAAAGCATAAATTTACATAAACTCCTGTATTCTGAAATTATTTAATCTTGTATTAACATCTGGAATATATCTTTGAAATGGCTAGAGGGTTATACAACACCAATCTTTAAATCAGATAATCCTAAATTACCCCAAAACTATAGAGGTATAACAATAAACAATAGCATAGCAAAACTTTTTAATATCATTTTAAATAACAGGCTCTCTCATAAAATAATACATGAAACTCAAAAGGTTTATGATGGAATCCAGAACACAGTTTATTCCAGTAAAATGTCTAATTGACAAATATATCAACACTGGCAATAAAAGGCTATATGCTTGTTTTGTAGATTTTCGCAAAGCTTTCGACACAGTTATTCATGAAGGCATAAAATTAAAACTATTACAATTAAATATAAACGGGCTGTTTTTTAACATTTTGTGCAACATGTACAGACATAGCCATAATCATATAAAAATAGGTAACAAATTGGAACTCCCCCATATAGACCAGAAATAGGAGTTCGGGGAGACTAGGCCCAAATATTTTAAAAATATTTCTCAATGATTTTTCCAAATTACTTGATGTACTGGACATGTTTCTCTTTCTGAAAGAAAATTTCCTACTCTTATATGCTGATGATCTTGTTGTATTTGTAGCCAAAAAGGACTGCAAAACAAATTAGACCTACTTTACAAATACTGTAATGGTGCTTAGAAATTAATACAAGTAAAACCAAAGTACTTCTTTAATAAAAGTAGTCATTTTATTAATGAAAAGTTCACACTTTTCCCTTAGAATGTGTAAACAAATATAAATACTTAATTTTTTAACCTAATGTGGATCCTTCAAAGAAGCAAGATCTCATCTATATATAAAGCGCTTAAAGCTTCTTTCAAATTATACAAAGACCTAAAAGCTATTTCTTAAAAATTGTTTTGATACATGCTTTCCACAATGTATGGGATTTTTAAAAACAAACATTTATACGATATTTTTAAAGAGTGGAACAAGAAAGCTTAAATATCAAATTTTGTAATTATCATATTGGAAGCAGAAGGTTTAATATTGCAATAATTTCTGAACTGGGAAGATACCCAATCCTTATTCAAAACATCTTATTATACTGGCATAGGTTGCAATCCCCCCCCCCCCTTCCCTGTTACATAAAGCATATACAGAAAATATTAACCTTAATCAAGGCAATATTAACTGCTGGTACAAAAATGTAATTTATTATAGTAAGAAAATTAATCTCTCATTACCAGAATGTAAAACATACAAAAACACATTTTTAAAAAACAAGTTAAGAAACATTTGAAAAAACACTATATATTGGAAAATGAAACGTAAAGAGGGCTGGAATCAGCCCCCCTTACTACTTATTTTATGTTTAAAGAAAATTTTATAATTGAAAAATATATGTACATTAAATCTCATGAAATAAGAAAATCCATTTGCAGATTTAGAATAAGTGCTCATGACCTAAGAATTGAAAAAGGCAGATATGGATCTGTAAAAAATAATGCTGGTCAAAGAATCCCCTTAGATAGAAACAAAAGAATATGTTTAACGTGTAACCAAAACAATATAGAAGATGAATATCATTTTCTTACTGAATGCCCATTATATACTGGCTGAGAGATCAACTTTTTCAGGTATCTCATTAAAAAAAAATTTCATATTATTATCAAAAGGAGACAAATTTCTCTGGTTAATGTCTAATGAAGATAATCTAATTGTTACAAAGCTAAGTGAATATCTTGTCAAAGCCTTCAAAATAAGGCATAATGCCATGAGTTTTCATAAATAATGTTATAGACACATATTTATTTGTAAACTGGTATATATGTATATTGATAATATTGATTTTGATTGCATGTTAATTAACAATTTGATAACCCCATACTGCTGCATTCAAGTTACTTGTAATATTATATCAGATATATACATGTGTGTGTATGTGTGTTTATGTTTGTATATGTTTACATAACCTTTCTTTTAGAACCTATCTTGTCATTGTAAAAACCTTTATGCCTTCTGGGCCCAAAATTGGAAATAAAATTATCTTATCTTATCTTGTAGGTACAAGAAAAAATATCTTGGATTAACCTGTTGTTATTTTGGTTTTTGGTCAAAATATGCGTAAATAGATATTCTAAAGTTTACAGAAATCGGATTTAAATTCTTCCTAAACTAACATTTTTTGGAAATAAACCCTTCTTCGCAAAATAAACATTCCGCCAAAATTATTGTCACACCTCTAAAAAATTGCCAAAACATCCCTTGATGCAATGTGTGTGTGTGCGTATCTTTAGCTAACATGATGGAAATAAACCCTAACTTTAATAAAATAAAGTTATTTTATCAAAATTTATAATTGTATTTTACTCTAGAATACAAAAAAAGATCTTAATTTCCTTGGCACTTTAAATTAGGATATGTTCAGGGTTCAAATATTATCAAACACAATGCTTCTTTTTCAGTCAAGCCCTAAAAATGAATGCGAAAGTCAACACAGTATTCCTTCAGGAGAGCCATTCTATGCTGAGCAGAAGTAAAACCAGATCTATTATAGAATTTCAGAAGAGACGTTATGGACACGGCAATCGCCTCGGACGTGTAACGGAAGCGGAACTGAAACTGACAAGCCTCCCTTCCACCGTCTGCCAAGAGGTCAACTCCGCTGCAGCGAGCAACAACATTATGAAGGACAAAAATATCACCAAACAAAATAATAAAGTCAGCAATAACTTCTATATCAAGACATCTGACACCAAAGCTTATGGGCCCCTGCTTTCATGTCCCCCGGTGTTACAGGTATACCCCAACTCCATGTGTCCAGACATTGAGAATCACCTTGTGAGAATTTACCTGGACAAAATCGCTCTTCCTCTGGCGTGCCCTACATGCTGGAGTTTACAGAGAAATACCTAAATTCTTTCAAAGCTACAAAAATAACATTGGCATGCCAAGTTTACAAAGAATTGCTCAACTCTTTTGACAGCTATAAATATAACAATGATATTTTGACATTTTTATTGTTGTTCTCAGTTTTAATGGATGGTTTTACAACAAATATAGCCTTTAACGAATTTAACAGTACACCTAAGAATCGAGAATGAAGAAAAGTTCACATTATTGTCTGTCTTCACTTTTCTTTTCAGCCAAAAAGCTTTTATCATTTGAGACATAATAGGAGATGATCTCATGCTTCTATGAATTTATAAAAAAAATAATGATGTTTTATTTTTCCATTACAACATGGATATTGTTCTTGGTCATCACCCATGACCTAAATAATGATATTTTCCACCTCAGTTACCGAGCTGTATCCATGAAGTCAAAATGCACAAAAAATGAAATGATTTTGATACAGTCGACAGATACATGACACGGTCTGTCGGTAGTCTGTCACATGATTGTGGTTGTAGGTTAGAATCCTTCCTGATACTGTTTACTTTCCATCTTAGCAATGATACGTTCTAGCTGTCTCCTGGCCTCACACATGGGGAAATTACTCATGTCGTAGTATTGTGGAGCTATTTTGATCAGCCTGTAAAATAAGAAGGCAAAAAAAAGTTAGGTTTTGCATGTAAAGAAAGCCTATATTGAAGACCTGGCCTGGGGGCCATAAAACTTAGACAAGCTCACTTTTGATCTCAGTCTTACTTTTCCACTATATATTCCTTTAGTTAAATTGAGACTATATTGAAGTTTTATGGCCCCCAGGAGAGACCAAAATTTATTCTGCTCATCACTTTCTTATTTGCATTAAATTGAAAATTGTTTTGAACTTTTTAAAATTAATGTAGAAAGATACTTTCAAGATAGCAATTTTACACTCAATCTTTTTTGAAAAGTGGGAGGGTATATAATGTAGTCCGTCCGTCTGTTTAGTGTTACGCTTTGAGGTACCCATCTCTTATCCGCAACTCCTCTCATACCACTGAAGGAAATTTAATGAAACTTTCACAGATTCTTAATTACATATTGCCATTGTGCACCTCCTATTTTACTTTTTGATCTGACGTATATTTTTGATTTTCCAGAGCAAAACATGGACACTGCCATTATATTCATATGGGAGGCAGGGGGTATCATTTAGTGAGCTCATTGCTCACAGTACCTCTAGTTTATTATGAAAATTTTTTACAATCAGATTAAATTTTTGGTCTTTGCTGCAAGTTCTTTTGTAAAATTGTTCTCTGTATGCTCATGCACTTCTTAAACTAACTGTTACAATGTCTGAATGAGCCTCTAATAAGACGGATATCTCCTCCTAAAATAAATATTATCCAGTCAAAACGCATGCTGATATGCATATTTTATTATACTAAAAATTTCCTTTGGAAATTATAAGCAAAACTGATATTGGTGAATTGAAGAAAGATAAACCTTAAGCATTAATATTCAGTCTATAGACTAGAATATTAGTCCCCCCCCCCCCACAAAAAAAGTTATGAAAATTTGAATGCAGCATGATTTCAATGAAAAACCCTTAGGCCTTTTTACATCATCACTGTTTAATATAGACAACTCTCCAACGTACCATTCTGGTTTGATGTCAGTGACGGTCCTGATGTAGTTTTTGGTGGTCAGTACAAACTCGTTATACAGCACCCACTCAGGTTTGTGGTCCAGACAGGTGGAGGGGTGGAGCTGCACCACCTGGCTGTCCTTCACTGTCAGGTAGTGACCCGTTCTCTCCAAGTGAGCCACCTACAGAAAAAGTGAAACTGATTCTATACGAAAGATATATAATCACATGGAACTTGTACAGTAAAACTTGGTTATAAACAAGTCATTGGGAACTATGAAATTACTTCGCTATATCCATAATATGTTATACAGCAGAGACTCGTTATTACGATGTTCACTTTGTCACGGTAAAATATCGTAATACCGAGGGCAACGTAATAAAAGTTCCTAATAAAATCCTGTAAAACATCGTTTGGAAAACGTGTTCTTGTATTAGGGGGTATATTTTTCTCCTTCTATCTCCTTTTCATGCTCATATTCTTCTCCAATATGCCATATACACTTAATTCATTGATTACTTATCTTTAAAACTTATTTTCATGATGCTATTTCTTCTTTTTCCATCATAGTAAAAGCATAGAGCATATTTTTTAATAGAAACTTCGACAATCTTCCTTTAATTGCCGCCATTTTCTGTAACATGTACTTTCACTTTCGTTTCTGTCCAGATAATGCGTTCGTGAAAATTTCAATGTCTTCGTAGTCATATTCATTTCTATATAAACAACTACCAAAATTCTGATTATTTTATTCTCTTTGTATTTAATTAAAAGTCATTTCTAAACAAACAACAACATTTTTTTTATTCAAATAAAAAGGTCAAAGTAAACAGACAAGCAATCTGTCAAAATAATTTTTTTTTAATTACTGAACAGAGGTCAATTAGCAGTTCAGCAATTATCGATTTGTATTTCTGCTGATATCTGAGAGGAAGTCCAAGCCACTACCCAAGCTGTTAAAACGTTTGTAGTGGAGTTCAAAATTTGTCCAAATTATGTTTGATACCCAAGCTTTTTATTTACGCAGTTTATTTGCAAACGAAATTACACATCATGTGTACCTGTGTACAGCATACATGCATAATAAATATAACCTTTTATTTATTAAATTAATTTATTAAACTAAGTATGAAATAAATAATAAAAGAATTTTTAAAAAAATACAGCGATAGATAAAGAAGAAGCTAGGTTTATGAGTAAACTTTAATTGTTTAACAATGGCTTTGGCACGTCTCCAAATCTGCTGGACTCGCTGGAACAGTCCAGGTGGGTGCAATCAAGCGTCACTAATCACCTAACTGCCCTGTTAGTTAAGGTCAGACGACACGTTCCTCAAAAATATATAATTTTTCCTCAGAATTTGTCATTGAAGTATAGGTACTTGAACAAGTATCCTCACAAAAAATTAGGGTACCTTACCAGGCATTTGGCCAAGATACCCTAGGGTCATATTTCTTATACAACCCATAAGCCTAGTCTTCTAAATGGCCTATAACACAATTTTTGGTGTACTTATATTTAAAAACATTTTGAAAACAATGTAGAAATCAGAAGAGAATGACAAATATGAATATTTTTTTATATAATACCAAGAGATACAAAACATATAACTGAGGAACGTGTCGTCTGACCTTAACACTCTCTCAGAGAACAGGTGTTCCAATGTTTATTTAGCGTCTCCCTAAGTGTCTACCAGCAATCAACACTGAATAAACACGGAGTGAAAAAATTTTTGACAGAATTTTTACATCGTATTACTGAGACCTGGCGATTTTGGACAACGTAATAAACAGTTCTTTTTTGTATAGATTTGTTAAGAAATGGATTTGTGCTTTGAATTTACAACGTAATAAGCGTTCTATCATATAAAACCGTCACCGTAATAGCGGATCTCTACTGTATCAGTATAAGGAATTAGTTAAATTTATATAGATGGTGATCCAAGATAACTTCGTTACATCCAAGAATTCGTAATATCCGTTTTTCGTACTAAACAAGTTTTACTGTATATACTTGTGAATAACTGAATATAAAATTTTGAAAAGTATATATTGAGAAAAGTAAAGCTGTTTATTGAGATCAGATGATTTTCTGCCCAGAAGTTTGATATTTTTTTAGAAGCATGATCCATTTAGGTGTGACGGAGTTGCGCCAAAAAAAGTTGATGGACAAGAGCAAGCCACATAAATGAAACAAAAATTTCATTTGGACTAAAAGACTACCCTGACTAATATCAGACCCTTCAATGTAAACAAGTCAGACAACTTTTACCTGCATAAAGAATCCTGACACTAATGCCTTCCTGATGTTAAGGTAGTAGTCGCGGCTGGCGAAGTCCGTACTGGCTCGTCGGAGGTTAAACCTGTCCATGATGCGGGCTAACTGCTGTCTCACGTTGTCGGCACTCTTCAGAGATCGGTAGTTGACAAAGTTGTCGTAGCACCACTGGGGGTCCTCCTGGCCTGTTAAAAGAGAAAATATTTATCTTATTAGAAATGGGTAGTTTTATAACGTACTATTATGTATACATCTGGTCAATTGAGAGTGTCTACAATAAAGTTTCTTTGTACTGGGCATTAGAACAAGAGGCCCATGGGCCACATCGCTCACCTGAGCAACGTGGCTAGGAAAAAAGCAGAAATCAGTTTATTATTGAAAAGTTTAAACCTAGTAGTCCAAACCAATCCTTAAAAGGGAGAGGGTATAATTTGAACAAACTTGAATCTACACTAACTAAGGATGCTTGCATATTTCTTTGACCACCTGTGGCTTTATTGCCCTTTACATTTGAACTTACATTGTGGCCCCGCCCTACCCCCTGGAGTCATGACTTGAACAAATTGAATCTACAATACCTGAGAATGCTTCCATATGAATAGGACTAATCATTGAAAAGAAGATTTTTTAAATTTTTTTCTACATGTTTCTATGTAAAACTTGGATTCCATGTTATGGCCCCGCCCTACTCCCAGGGGTCATGATCTGAACAAAATTGAATGTCCACTACGTTAAGATGCCTCCACAAAAATATGATCATTCATGCCTTTGATATTCTTGAGAAGATTTTTAAAGAATTTTCCTATATATTAATATGTAAAACTTTGATCGCCCATTGTGGCTCCGCCCTATCCCCGGGGGTCATGATTTGAACAAACTTGAATCTACACTACCTGAGGATGCTTCCCTACAAGTTTCAGCTTTCCTGGCACAGTGGTTCTTGAGAAGAAGATTTTTAAAGAATTTTCCTATAAATTTCTATGTAAAACTTTGATCGCCCATTGTGGCCCCGCTCTACCCCCGGGGGTCATGATTTAAACAAACTTGAATCTACACTACCTGAGGATGCTTGCCTATAAATTTCAGCTTTCCTGGCACAGTGGTTCTTGAGAAGAAGATTTTTAAGAATTTTCCTATAAATTTCTATGTAAATCTTTGATTGCCCATTGTGGCCCCGCCCTACCCCCGGGGGTCATGATTTGAACAAATTTGAATCTACACTACCTGAGGATGCTTGCCTATAAGTTTCAGCTTTCATGGCACAGTGGTTCTTGAGAAGAAGATTTTTAAATCATACAATCAAATTTTCACTATTTCTGAATTATCTCCCCTTGAATGAGGGCATGGCCCTTCATTTGAACAAACATAAATCCCCTTCACCTAAGGATACTTTGTGCCAAGTTTGGTTGAAATTGGCCCAGTGGTTCTTGAGAAGAAGTCGAAAATGTGAAAAGTTAACGACGACGATGACAACGCAAACGACGACGACAACAGACAAATTTTGATCAGAAAAGCTCACTTGAGCCTTTGGCTCAGGTGAGCTAAAAACTGAGGACCCAGGTCACAAAAATTCCAAACTGACTATAGAAATGGCCTATGAGGTCTAAATTTATTTCTGCACTGACTGAATCAATTTTGACAAAATTTCAACATCTATATATAGTTAAGTGAAAAATTAAATAAATTGGGCAACATAAGATATTCTTCATTAAAGACAATATTTATTTACTACACTTAGAAATCACACTATGTTTGAAAATCCCACTTACATTGCTTAAAGGCATGGTAAACGTTCAGCAGAGTTAGATGATCTCCGTCTATGTGGGCAAATCTCATCTTGGCCTCGTCAGCAGTTTTCTTCATTTCCGTGGGTCGAACGAAGCACTGTGGGACTAAACAGGGGGGTACGGAACAGGGCCAAAACACGGCCCAGCCCCATCGCCATTAGTGACATCACATCAAGTCAATACTAAAAGGAATGTTCTAAGTTATGCAGTGCACGGATCTACTCTATACGTCCATCTGGACAGTAACTGTTTATAATTTTAAATTTGACATTTTTGCGTCTTACGTGCACTGCAGAGTTAAAAATCCTCAGCAAGAGAAAAAGAGCATCATTAAAAATCATGTGCAAATAAACTAAAGTCTTATGAACCAAAACAAAACCTAATGAATTTACTCTAAATCTGAATTTTTAAAATTATAAAAATGGACAAAAGAATTATTCATTTGTTCCAGATGAAACAATGGCTACCTGACAACATGGCAGTGATGGATAAGATCTCGTTAGAACAGCTGCAATCACAGCTAGCGATGACCATCTTAGCGAGCTGGGGATCCAAGGGAAACTCAGCCATCATGGATCCCAATTCTGTCAACTCTCCATCGTCGTCCAACGCGGCCAAGTAGTTCAACAACTCTAGAGCTCGCATAAGGGTCTCAGGAGCTGTCAAAGGAAAACCATGTAAGAGCTTTGTATTTTAGGGGATTTCAAATTTCCCAAAATTTACCGTAATCCATCCAACACTTAATTAAATCCTATAAATAGTGTTTTCCCTAAGAACTGGCCACCAGCCAAATTGACTGCTTCAATTGATAATAATGCCATTTTGAAAAATTCAAAAAAATCAAAATTAAACTGTTTTAAGGTCTACAGAGATTTGTCATAAAGCCTGTTACAGTTGATCTATAACCCTTTTTCTTGAAACAAAGGGAAAACATTGTATAAACACAAGATGTCCAAAAATACTATACCTGGTGGATCCATGAAATCAAAATGCACTAAATCATCAATTCCCAGTTTCTTCAACTGTAGCACTACTGAACCCAGATTTGACCTGAGGATTTCGGGGTATGTATTGTCCTGCATTTCATTCTTATATGCTTTCTCTGTGTACAGTCGGAAACATTTGCCTGGTTTTGTTCTTCCTGCACGTCCTGCTCTTTGTTGTGCACTGGCCTTACTGATAGCTGTAACTAAAAGAGACTCCACTCGAATTCTAGGATTGTATACCTATATAACAATAAAATAATTTGTTTCAATGTGAAAAAAGCAAACAATTGACTAACTAAATCTCTCACTTAAGTTGATAAATAAACAATATTTTTTAAAGATGTTCTGTCTGGAAAATGATTCAACTGGATTACAGAATCTTGAAAGCTTTGTGAAGCAAAATAAACTGGCATCTGAATTACATTGAACTAGCAATCATAGTATTCAAAGTTTGAAATGCTTTCCCCCAAACATTTTTTTTCCCTGAAAGGCAGTAAAAATATCTAGATTCTTCACTTACTTTCTGTTTTGCAAACCCTGGATCAATCACAAACACCACCCCATCTATAGTCAGGGAGGTCTCTGCAATGTTGGTGGACACCACCACCTTTCTGCCTACAGCACCATTAGGTTTAGCAGGGGGTGGGGCTTCAAAAATTCTCTGTTGTAAGTTGGGAGGTAATGTGGAATACAGTGGTATACATTTCATATCCCCCACTTCTGGCCCCAAGTTGTCGATTTCTCTCTGGAGTCTTTTACAGGCCTCATCAATTTCCTATACAGAAAATTATTAAGAAAAATATAAGTGTTTTCTAAAGGGAATTTCTCAATGTAATGTCAAGATAACAAGCAGTGATGATGCTCAGAAGTCAGTTTAAATACAAATTGATAGCAAAGCCATCAGGCACCTCTTGGATAAACCACCATGTTTTTATGTTGTATTTAATGAACAATAATTTCATTTTGCTACATTTTTCAACATTAGTAAAAAATTCAAATGGTCCATGTGCGTTCATGACAATCTATTGAGTATGGAGGCAATTAAGGCCTACAACTGAACAAAAAGACTCAACAAAATTTTTAATTTCTAAAAATATCTGACCTCTTGACCTGTGAGGAACATAAGGATATCCCCCGGTCCCTCCTCACACATGTGGATCTGGATGACTGTTCGGATGGCGGCCTCCAGGTAGTCTCTTTCTGCCTCCGGCGTGTAGAAGATTTCCACGGGATGTGTTCTCCCCGGTACCGTCATAAGAGGGGCGTTGTCAAAATAGTTCTAGAATGACAAGACAAAGGCCTTGAAATTAATTGCTTGATAACAATTACAAAAAACATTTTAAAATTTAATTACCAAAAATTTTTTCCACAAAAATAAGTAATTTTACAATATTTAGCAGCTCTTTGGTCATTGACAAGATTTTTTTAAGTTTTACCTAAAGAGTATGCTAAAATTTTGTGCTATTTTATTATAAATTAGTTCTCTTTTTCAAAAATGGCAAAATTCCCATCAAAATTTGTGAATTAAGACAATGACGATGGTCCTTAAAGCTAAACATTTTTTTCCAGAGAACAATAGTCCTTAAAATTAAAGCAAACTATAATTTTACCTGAAATTTTCCTGCATCCAGTGTAGCACTCATGACGATGATTTTCAGATCTGACCTCTGTTTGGCTACCTCCTTTAGAAGTCCCATCAAGATGTCTGTGGCCAGCGTTCTCTCGTGAGCCTCGTCCAACATGACAATGCCGTAAGCTTCTAATAGCGGGTCTGACATGGCCTCTCGTAACAACATACCGTCTGTCATATATCTGTTTGAATTGTATAAATGAGAAATATTTTCTTTATACTACAGGTATAACATGTTTTTTTCCCTTTTCAACTATATTTTTCTAAAATATTTATATTTTAACTTGAATATGATTTTTTTTTTCCCCATGCAAATCATTTATCTGATAAAACAAGTTCAAATATCTGGTTTTCTTAGAAATATAATGAAGAATTCTAATGAATAGCGTCAGGAATACAGCCCTTTACACATAAAAGAGAAAACCAACAGAAATGCAAATTGAAATCTACTCACTTTAATAGAGTTTTAGATGATGTGCAGTCCTCAAATCGGATGCTATAGCCTACTTCCTGTCCGAGCCCTACGTCCATTTCCTCGGACACACGCTGCGCGACAGACATGGCTGCCACCCTCCTGGGCTGGGTACAGGCCACGCCCTTCTTCTGGTAGCGACACCGAACCCACTCCAAGCACCACTGAGGGATCTGTAGGATTCAGAATAATTCATTGAAATGATGGTTAATCCCAATAAACTCATTATAAAGTAAAGTAATAAGGAGAGGGTGTACATAGGCATTGCCTGTTGCCCAATCCTGATTGAATTACTCAATAAAAATATGTTTAAAGTAAAGTAATAAACTCATTATCTATTACGTCAGGACAAAACAGGTACGATTACAGTTTGGCCAAACAACTTTTTAAAAATATCAATCCTAGTTCTCCATGAAATTAAAATAACTTACATATTAAAAGCATGATGGTTTTTTAAGGTAGTTACAGAATTATGTTTTTTAACTCTTTCAACACTGAGTAACTTTTATCAACCAACCCCTGGTACACTGAGTAACTTGGGGCATCACTAAACATTTCACCTTCCGTCACAAAAAATACTATAACTTCTTTATTTCTTTGAATATTTTAATAAATGACACATCATTAGAAAGGTGAGGCATTTCTCTTTTAAATGATATAAATTTGATATATATACAAAATTATTTATCAAGTCAAAAACACTAATAAAATTCATAATTACATTTTAGAACGGATCTTATGCAATAATTTAATAAATTTGCTGCTATGAAGTTTCAAAATCAATTATGTTCTTACCATTGTTTAAAAGAGAAATTATTTCCGAGTAAAATGATATGCAATATGTCAGAATTTATCAAAAAGCAAGTCCATAATTATCAATGAATAAAACGGGGTGTTTCAGAACATCGGAAGAAGTCTGGCGCGTGGAAAACATCCTCTGTTAAGGAGCCTTGATATTCCGATTCCAAGTCATCTTTCTCCGACAAAATTTCACAACATTGTTAATAACTCATGTATTTGTTGTCTAGAAACATTTATAATGTCTAATTCCCTCATTTTATTAAATCTTTCATTGCCAGAAAGATCGGACATTTTGTCGTTTACCGCCATTTTGCTTTCTTCTTCGTTTTCTTTACTAATCATCTAATTTTCCTTATTTTTTCGTAGTTTTCGCCATGTGGGCCGCCATTTTTGTTAACGGATGTTAACATCATTCTACCCATAATTCATAGTGAAAGATTTTGCGCAGAGAACACTTTCTATTTCTAAGAATAAACGTTTGACTTTCAGTTTAGTGTCTGAGACCGATGTATCGGTCTACCGTGTTCCAAGACAAAATTTTATCAGACCGATGTATCGGTCTACAGTGTTGAAAGGGTTAAAGGGTAGATCCTCAAAAAGCAACAGTGATCATGGTGATGCATTTGATTTTTTTTTTTTTAAATAAAGAATCAAAATAAAGGTCTAGTCATTACCTGTGTAGTTTTTCCACTGCCTGTTTCTCCCACTAAGACAAGAATTTGATGGTTGTTTATGATATCGCAGAACTTTTCCTTGTATTCCCATACTGGTAGCATCTTCCTTTTATTCAGCAATTCAAAATATCGAGGTGTATAGGGCAAACCTGAAAAAGATGTCACATTCATGCACATTAAATCCCAATTTTTATGTAATCAGTGCAATGAGCTATTGCTAATATGTGGCGGTCAGCCGGGTTTGATCGCCGGTGGCCAGATAGCTCAGTTGGTAGAGCAACTTACAGGAGATTCAAGGGGCCCTGGTTCGAATCCCTATCTGGTCTGCTGCATTTTTCTCCTCTCCCGTTTCAAATACTTAATTTCAAGGATTGTAAAGGGAAAGGAGAAAAATGCAATGGACCAGACTGGTATTCAACAACCCCCCCCCCCCCCCCCCACCAGTCTCCAAGTAGGTGTTTTAGCAACTGAGTTTTAGCTTTATAAATATCAGCTGATGACAGTACTGACCTGTGAATGGGTTCATCTGTATGGTGGGCTTGGCAATCCCAAACTGTTCAAATACCGACTTATAGGACTTCTCATCCTTCTTCTCTCTATCATCATCTCTAGAAATACGAAATAAGATATGCAGGTGACAGTGATTAAATATAGAAACAGAGTTTTGGTAAAATAAAACTATATATATATATCTCACTGCTGAATATAAAATATATTTGCGTTAATTCCATAATGTCTGAAGATTTATTATTTTATTTATGGGGTTAGGATATGGTTATTGTTCTCTAGTCTACTGACTTTGTGACAAATGTTCTACTTATTTTTTACTCCTTTTTAATCAGTGACAATTAATTGCCATTAATTAGATTAGATCAACATTATTCCTTTACCTGGTTCGCTTAGTTTGCGAGTCACCAACATCTATGCGGTGTCTCTTCGACATTTTGTCGTTTGTTTGACCTGTTTCTCATATATCCGTCCAGAAAGCGTGTTCAATAATCTACAGGAATTGTGGGTAATTTTCTTTAGTTTAGGAATGAGGTATTTTTAGATCCGGATATTGAAAGCATGTTAAAGACTTCCGGTTGTAAGAGAATCAAAACAGTGCCATGTGTCCCAGCTCTGACAACTAACTTTGTGAACGGTTTTTGTGAAATAAATCGCGATGTCTGATGACACGCTGTCATTTCATGAGATGGGGCTTGATGACAGGCTCTTAAAGGTATGAAATACCCGGTAAAATAGTTGTGAAATGATAATTTTTGAAAATTAATTAAAAAGTTCTTGACAGTAATTTTTAGAGTAAATGGAAAAGAAAGGAGTTCATTTGTTATTTATGAAACTTTATCTGGCTATCTCAAGAACTTATTTGGGTCAGCTGTTTGCAGCTCTTAAGGGATTGTGGGTTACGTTACGTTACTTAGGGGACAAAATAGCTGGATGGAACCACAGGTCTTTCGAACAGTCTGGATAATCTGATTGATAAGTATAGCCCCTCTATATTTAAAAGTATACCCCCTCTATATATAAAAACACTTTAATGGTGGGCCGTGGATATCGGCCTCTCAGTCGATAGAGAACCTGACTAGTGATGCAGGGGTTCCAGCTAGGTTCAATTCCTGGTCCAGCCATGTATTTTCTCCTTTTTAGGTCACCTGAGTAACTCAGGTGACCTATTGCTATCTGTTTTCGTGCGTCGTCGTCCGTCGTGTGTTAACATTTGAACATTTTCAGCTTAATTCTTCTCTGAAACCACTGAACCAATTTCAACCAAATTTGGTATACAGCATCTATGGGTGAAGGGGAACATAAATTTTGAATTTTATGGTCCCCGCCCCCCTGGGGCCTGAGGGGTAGGGCCAAAACCACTAAAATTATTGCAATCTTTAAAAATCTTCTTCTTTACTCCTGGACATCAAGCAGGCAAACTGTTGGCATGAATGTAATGAGCATTGAGTCCTCTACCAAAATTGTGAAATTCATGGCCCAGGGGTCAGGGTTTCTAGTGCTAGGACGGGGCTATATAGATTATGTAGTGAAAATGCATTATTTCTTTAAAAATCTTCTTCTCTGCTCCTAGGTATTAAATAAACTAACTAAGTACATAGTTAATATGATGAGCAAGAGTGCCTCTTCCAAAATTGTGAATTTTATGGCCCCAGGGTCAGGGGTTCTGGTGTTAGGGCGGGGCTCTACAGAAAATAAAGCAAAGCAGATGATTATATAGTGAAAATGCATTTATTCTTTGAAAATCTTTTCCTCTGCTTCTGGGTATTAAATAAACTAACTAAGTACATAGTTATGATGAGCAAGAGTGCCTCTTCCAAAATTGTGAATTTTATGGCCCCAGAGTCAGGGATTCTGGTGTTAGGGCGGGGTTCTATTGATTATATATAAATATTGAAAATGCATTAATTCTTTGAAAATTTTCTTTTGCTCCTGGGTTATATGCCAATGATCCAAGTACATGTGTGTATATATATTTATGATGAAGAAAAGTGCATCTAGCAAAATGGTTATTTTTTATGCCCCCTGGGCATTTTGAAATATGTGGCCCCAGGGTCAGTGGTTCCTTTGGGGTGAGGTGCAAAACTGGTTATAAAGTGGAAGTGCATTTTCTCTTTGTTACTTTGATCTACCTCTGGGTATTAAGTAAATAGAGTAAGCATGCTAAGTTTATAATTATGAAAAGCAATGGTGCCTCTTTCAAAATTGTGAATTGTGAATTTCATGGCCTCTGGTTTAAAACACAAACCGAAGTTAATTGTTTGAAAGTTGTTACACAATACTCAGGTGACCTATAAGGCCCGTGGGCCTCTTATCTGTTACACACTATAAAGAGGGGGTATATAGGCCAAAATAAAATATACTCTTGTTTCCTGTCACCCGACCTACCCTACATTTTACCCTCTGACCCTAAAAGTTTTTATTACATTTTCATTTTGGGGGGCTATTTTCCTGAAATACTAAAGTCGACCAACAATATTTATAGAACTAATACATCACAAGTGTACAGAATACCTTTACTTTATAAATCTTTATTAATAAACTTGCTTTGTAAACTGTTAACATACTGTTTTATTTTTATTATATGCTATATGTCCTGCATTCATTGAATTTTGAAAATAAAATTTTTTCTCAAAATAAAATTTTTTCCCTACCTACCTACCCTATTTTTTTGGGTCAGGGGACAGGAAACAAGAGTATTTTTTCTTTTGGCCATATCACTCTGATCAATCATATAACAGCTTATTGATAGAAATTCAGAGATCTGCGATAAAACAAGGTGCATACTGTCCAATTTTTCTCTTTTTTGCACAGCTAGGCCTTGTTCTGAGAGTGTGCATGTTCATAAAAGTACATTCGTTAAAAAATGTTCATAGTGAATAGAAAACTTTGAAATGCTAATCTAGGCCATGCTAATACACACAAGATATATACTAGATGATAGGAAATAGATCATTTATTGCAGAAAATTCAACTGAAATGAATAAAATATTTAACATTTGTAGGCTATTTCACATCTTGGTTGGTCTGAACCAACACCAATACAAGAGAAGGCCATTCCACTTGCTTTGGAAGGAAAGGACATTTTGGCTCGAGCCAGAACAGGGTCAGGAAAGACTGCAGCTTTCTGCATCCCAGTAATACAGAAAATACTGACAGCCAAACAGGTAAATCAATCACTGACAGCAAAACAGGTAAATCCCTGTAATACAGAAAATACATGTACTGACAGCAAAACAGGTAAAAAAATCCACGTTATACAGAAATTAATACTTACAGTAAAACTAGTAAATCCCTGTCATACAGAAAATAAAGCAAAGCAGATTACTGTACTCCCTGTTTAAAAACGTTTAGTTACATACCCTTTTTCCATGATAGACAAAAACCTTAATCATACAGTTAATTTCATTTTTTTTTCTAACATACAAAAAAAAGCTTGAAACATTTACTATGATATTAATATTGGATACCAATACTTTTGCTATTCTTTACCTCAATGAAATACTTTTATCATTTTCAGACCAGTACAGAGCAATCAGTCAAGGCATTGGTGCTGACACCTACCAAAGAATTATGCCACCAAGCTTACAAAAACTTAATGGTGAGAGAAGACATGACAATGATTGATTTCCTTTTCCCAGAACATTATCATTCTGTGGCACATTGTATTTGAAATTGACTTGTAACTGAGTTTACTTATAATCAATGTTTTGCTTCTTTAGGATCTCACATCAAGTTGTTCCAGAGAAGTCAGAGTCCTTGACATTTCACCTCAGGTGCCACTACCTACCCAAAAGTAAGCCTTTGTTTTAACTTGACCAGCAGTTAATACAGTAAAACTTGGTTATAACAAAGTCACTGGAACCTTCAAAATTACTTCGCTATATTCGTAATTTGTTATATCCGTAGAAGGAATTCGTTAAATTCATATATCTTGGGATCCAAGATCATAACTTCCTTATATCCAGGAATTCGCTATATCAGTGTTCATACTTAACAAGTTTTACAGTACAATAAAACTTTTCAAATGCAGATATTGATTATTCGGAAATCTTGCCTATATCAATGAAAATAACAATCATAAACCTTTTGGTCTGTCCTTGTTTTGTAGACCCATGTTGATGGAGAGACCAGACATCATTGTGGCCACGCCCACCCGAGCCCTGGCCCACATCAAAGCCGGTAACCTTGACCTCAAACAGTCGTTAGAGTTACTGATTATTGACGAGGCGGATTTACTTTTCTCTTTTGGTTATGAGGATGATGTAAAAGGAATTCTTAGGTGAAGGTTTTGTTAACTTAAGTGTTCTCTTTTTGTTTATTTCATTAAAAAAAATGTAGATCGAGGGAAAAAAAAACTGGCACAGCTGAGCTTCAATTTTTGTCAGACATTAGGATTATAAATATGAATTATTTTGAAATAATTATTCAAATGACCAAGTTATCTACCTTGTATTTGTTGAGAGTAAACTGTAATTAAATTGTAATTTAGTATTCTGCATAGTATCAGTATTTCCTTTGCAAAACATCAGTCGATGCCTGATGATTGGTTTTTTTCTTTCAGTCAACTTCCCAAAATCTACCAGGCCTTCCTGATGTCTGCCACACTGAGTGAAGATGTCCGAGCTCTCAAGAGGATGGTCCTCCATAATGCTGTGAGGATTACGGCTAACACTGACATGATTTAATGGAGATTTCTGTTGATTCCAAAAATTATTTTATAGGACTACTTGATTATTTTGGATTACTCATAGGAATCCATTTGAAAAAAAACATGAACTTTCAGTTTGTTTAATGTTAGCTTTTCCATATATTTCTGTAAAATATTAATAACTGAAAAGATATTTTTATTTCATGAAACTTCAGTGATAATAATGTGTCGCTATCCAAGTTTCACAAAATACTGTAACTAGTAGTGATATTTTCTTTGAAAAAAGGAGAGAATATTCTACAATTGAACTTTGTCACACTTTGTGTTCTGAAATGCTACAATTCCATATATAACTGTAGGTGATATTGAAACTTGAGGAATCACAACTACCTGAGGCATCTCAACTGACCCAGTATCATATAAAGTAGGTCAAAGTGTTAAAAAATAGGTCAACATCCAGTTCCTATTTTTTTTCAAAAAGATGCTGTGAATAATTTTTTTTACATTTTTTGTCACATTACTGAATTTTGTATTCTTACATCTTTATTTTACATTTCAGATGTGAAGAACAGGACAAATTCACTTTAGTATATGCTCTATTAAAATTAAATCTGCTGCGAGGGAAGTCTATTATCTTTGTTAACGAGGTCAACAGGTGTTACAAGTAAGTAAACTAAACTGTTAAAAGGGTTATTGCAATGATGTGTGCAATTTTAACAAGCCCTTTCTATCAGGTACAGTGTTTATAATGGAGTATATGTAGAGTTTATCAATATTTTTGTTAAAGACTATTAATGCTGAAGATATTGATCACCTTCATCCTCAAACAATTTTGAATCAAATTTTGAATCAAAATAGATATTCTTTTTGAATAACTTAATTGAAATAGCCTGAACGTACAAATCCACTATTTTCAGATTGAAGTTATTTCTGGAACAGTTTGCAATTCCTGCATGTGTGTTAAACTCTGAACTTCCAGTTAATTCTAGGTATGTATACAGTCATTTATGCTTTACAGCATGTTTGATTTTAAGTTGCATTCTAACTTTTGCAGTGGTAGTAATCTGGTTCTCTGTTTGTCACAGGTGCCACATTGTGAACCAGTTTAATGATGGACTTTATGACATCATCATAGCATCAGATGAAAACCTGTTAATGGATCCAAAGTCTAAACCACAGGAACAAGAAAAGAAAAAGGAAAAAAGGTAAAGTTTTCACAATGAAACTGAGAAAAAATTATCAGAATTTGAAGAAATCATTGTAAGAAAAGTACTAAAGATAAGATAATGTCCTCTGTTCCTCTTTTGTTGTGCAGACCTAAGAAGAAAGACAAAGAATATGGAGTCTCGCGAGGAATAGATTTTCAGAATGTTTCCAATGTGATCAACTTTGATTTTCCTTGTGACGTAGATACATATATACACAGAGTTGGAAGGTCAGAAACTGTAAAACAACATTTCATTAACTAATATAAAAGAAAAAAAATCAAAATTGTTATTAAATTTATAAAAAATATTTTGTTAATAGGAATCATTCTTTCAACAGAGTTAACCCAGGGTTTCAGCAGGCTAATGTTGGTTAAATAACTCGGATTGTGTCTAGTACTGTCTACCCTAGATTTATAATTTGCTTTTCATACTGCTGAACTTGAATGTAAACAAAGTAGGCAATTTTCGTAATACTTTTTATAATTTTTATAACATATTGTGTTCACTGTGTATTTAGGACAGCCAGGGGAGGTAACCAAGGTAACGCCCTGTCCTTTGTCAGTGTCAAGGACACTGAGTTACTGGGAGAAGTGGAAAAGGCTCTGTCTGAATCAGGCTGTAAGTAATCATTAGTTGTCTCCCAATAATACTGACCAGTGGAAATACTGTTTAAAAGGAAATTCGTTATGTAAAAGATTTGATGTCAGTGTTTTTAATATATTACGTGATACTGATTAATGGAAAATGCAAATCCTTTTTTTTTAACAGCTGGAGAGGAGAGTGTCTTTAAGCCGTATAATTTCAAAATGGATGAGATAGAAGGATTCAGATATAGGGCAAAGGTAAATCTTAAGAAACTTCATGTGCTTTAGAAAATCTGGAATTTCCTTATACCAGTTTAAATACCCATACAAATGATTTGCTTTAAAAATAAAAGTAGGACACAACTAATGTTAATTTAAAATAAATCAAATATATACATGTACATGTATTTCAAATTTCCTGTTTTGTTCACTAGGATGCAATGAGAATGGTCACAAAAACAGCAATAAGAGAGGCCAGATTGAAAGAAATCAAACAGGAAATGCTGGCATCCAACAAACTAAAAGTAAGATCAAAGTTCTGTCAAATACTGTGAAATCACTAATTTTCTGGGGTGTTTAATTTTCATTGTTTTCAAGGCATGGAGAGACCCTTGAATTCATGACCACCACAAAATGTAAAATGTCATACCGTAAATCTGGAAATTTTTACGTCGATTTATTTTGTGAATTCGGGTCAAAATGCTGTTGATTAATTTTTACGTTTTAAGATTTTGCGACTTACCACTGCTTTGTTTACATTTTCTTATTGGTAATTTATTTTTAAGAAAAATATTTTTGCGAATGCAATGAACTCGCAAATTTGCTAAAAATTTATCTTCAGCAAAAATTTCCAGGTTTACGGTATGCATTACTACTAAACATTTCCAACCACAAAAATCGAATCCCCACAATCCAATATTTTTTCCTCAAACCTAAAAAATTTGGCCCCATGAAAATGTGATTTTACAGTAGAATGAAAATAAAAGTTGAAGGATAAATGTTTTAAGATCATTTTAATTGAGTACTGTACTGTAAAGATGTGAGTAATACTTGGATTTGTTCTGTTTTAGACATACTTTGAGGATAACCCTCGAGACCTCCAGGTCTTACGTCATGACAAGAGTCTTCACACAATCCAGGTCCAGAAACATCTCAAAAACGTCCCAGATTATCTAGGTACTGTAGGTGTTCCGTATATTAAGAAATTTGCATATTATTTATTCAGACAAATCAATCAAAAAAAGATTTATTAATGTTTTCTGTTTGTAGTTCCTAAAACCCTGAGACACATGCGAGGAATGTCTTCAAAACCAGGAAGGTCAAAAGAAAGGAGGAAAAATTCGGCACAAAAAGGACCAACACAAGCAGAAATTAAATTCAAGGTATGAAAAATATAATCTTTTGATCGATATTCTGAGATGAAAACTTTGCCTCTGCTAGTAAAGTTTAGGTTTCATTTGAACGAATATTAAATGGAATAAAAAATTGCAATATATATATCATGATCTGTGCGAGATTTATGTATAGCTACAGGTCCTTATTTTGGTAGTAACTTTTGAATTAATATACTTGTTTGGCACCCTGCTATAGGTGTAGTAAGATTTTTTGGGGGTCGAAACTAAGAAGAAATGTTTCATATATTTCCTCAATTATCTTTTTTTTGACAGAAAAGGAAAGCTGACCCGTTGAGAAGTTTTGAATCAGCTGGTGTAGTGGGTGGGGGCAAGAAGAAAAAGAAGTCCTAGTATTGTACATTACTGTTGATAAATAAATATTACTAATATGAATATAAGTACTAGACTTCCGTTCTTTATGAGAACTGTCAAGACCAATCAATCACTAAATCAAAAGGAATTTGATTTATTACTGGCACAAACAAGGTACGATTTCAATACAAGCTTGCCCTGTGATTTTCTTAAAAATAAAACGTATAAAAAATGAAAACACATGCTTTCTGAATCATTGAAATTCCATGTAGAAATATCATACAAATAGTTTTTCTAAAAGCTAAGTGTGATGTCATAAACATGCATTTTCCCATATTTTCTTTAAAAGTTGCAGAAGACATCAATTTTCAATGGAATTTTCTTTCATATAATATAGTCCACAGGTATTACCCACAAAGATTTTGAAATATGTGACTTTTCATTGAATTTTACGAAACATATCCAAAAATTAAAGTGGGCGACAGCTGTAGATACTATTTACTTAAGGAAAACTACCTTTGAAATGGGTCATTTTACAGCTTTTTCTGCTTAATCATGTCATATTTCCAAAAGGCTACATTCTTTTCTGATCTACACAGTCGTACAATCAAATAATATTAAAGCTAGTTTTAAAACTTTTGGAAAATATAAAATTTTTAGGGCAGAATAAAGCTAAAATGGTACCTTATTCTTCTTCAACAATTGTGTATACATCAAATTTTGTCAATTTAAAGTTTTCGACAGAAAAATGTTCCTTTATTAATAGCTTCTGATGATTCCCTCTTTTTTGCTTGCCAAGGTATTTCTGCTCAGTAATTCCCCTAAAATATTTATATCAAAGTTCCTCATGTAGTGTAGATTGAAGTTTGTTCAAACCATGGCCTCCTGGGGTGGGATGAAACTGTCATACATGTATGTCAATTATCTTAAAAAGTTTTCCATGAAAACATTAATTTTCAAATGGATTTTCTTTGAAGAGTTATACAGTGCAGCATTGTGGCCCAAAGGCCTTGAAATATTTTTGTAATGTAATTTTTGCAAGACATCTTGTAATGTCCAAAGTAGTTGGTGCCCTTGACTGGGAGACCTTATATCAGAAATGAAATTTTAGGGGATACATATACTAAGTATAATGTATGTCAAGCAAAGGGTTCTCAAGGTATTGAGCAGATAAATCAACAGTCGACAGATCAGACTCAATGTAGGCAAACTAATGTGTTACCATTTTTCAAATAAGGCTTAAAATAGGTTAAACAGACAAACCATATATTTTATCTTTGTATGCAATAAAAACAAAATGGTAAATTTTTTTGACATAATTTATTAAGACATTCAATTTTTTTCTGAAATTTCACAAATACATAAAATATTCATAAACAGTCTTCTATATCTATATGAAGGTCACACCTTCTGAATTCAGTCACAAATAAATGATTACATTTCAAAGTTCTTGCAAAGGTAGTGATAGGTAATCCAATGTTGTAAATTCCTTGGCTGAAAGATTAGAAAGTATTCCAGTTAATGAAAAATTAGCTACTAAATACAAAGTCAAATACCAATACAAAGTCAAGTTTAACATTTTGAAGAAAATTTCATCATTGAATAAAGGAAATATTGAATGGAAAATGTAAAAGCTATAGGCAAAATATACCCTAATTTTTGTTTCTGTGAAAAAACCCTAATTTATGTATACTGCATCGTTCTTTGGCAATGCCCAATGTATATACAAAAACAAAGAAGTTAAAGGTCTGTTTAAAGAAACAATCGTAGTCCCCCGCTTCAGATAAAAGGTAAGATCAGCTGTGATACCTCCCCCTGTTCCTCTGAATTTGTAGAATTATTAAATGTATACATGTATACTGAAGCAAATAAAATACATGTATGTCAATATGCGTATAAAGATTTGATTGCTTATTCTTTATTATGTGTATAGAAGATTTTTTTAAATGGAATGTTTATCACACTGTAATGATGATTTTATAACCTCATAAATTTTTCATTTCACATGCTGAATACTATCATTTAGTAAATAAAAAAAAAAAAAAAAGGATTCATGAATTATTCGATCACCTTGCAACCTCTCACATATGAAGCGAGAGACATAACCACTAGACCACGGAATCGCTTTTCATGGTGAGAAGTATATGCAGAACTGAAGTCACATACATGTACATATTCATGTTTTCATGTTCGGTATTCTCAAAATTTTACACAATGCATAGTGTTTGATTTATTTAGCCTTTATTAAACAGTTCTAATAGATTTAATAAGAACATAAAGTCCGCCGAGAACCTGTTTTATACGCAATAACTCTCCTCATGCCCCTGCGCTAAAAATAGCGACATGTAATACTAAAAATACTAATAAAACAAACGGGGCGGGGCACTTTGAGAGGGGCGAGAGACGTCCTAGGGAGTATTGGTATAAAATTACATTGCATAAGCTCAAAATCTTCTTGAAATATCGCCCGGAAATGATAGTATTACACACAGACAGAATGTATAAATTTACGACCTTGAACTTTGACCTTTTGACCTCAAAATCAATAGGGGTCTTCATTAGGCCACAGGGAGTTGTTATATAAAATTTCATTGCAATAGCTCAAATGGTTCTCGAGATATCGTGTGGAAACAAAAGTGTTTTAACAGACAGAATTTGCTTATTTATGACCTTGACCTTTGACCTTTTGACCTCAAAATCAATAGGGGTCTTCTTTAGTCCATAGGGAATTGCTATGCTAAATTTCATTGCAAAAGCTCAAAGGGTTCTCGAGATATCGTGTGGAAATGAAAAGAATTACAGACAGATAAAAAGACAGACGGATGGACGGACAAACCCAAATTAATATCCCCCACTTTTCAAGCGGGGGACAAAAACAAAGAAGTTAAAGGTCTGTTTAAAGAAACAATAATAAAACCAGTATTCAGATCAGCTGTGATACCTGTAAATTCCTCCAATGTTCCTCGGCTTTAGTCCTCGGTCCACTCAAATGGCTCTGGGGGCTCTGGCTCCTCCTCCTCCTCAATCTTTGGACCTCCAGCTGAAAATGAAACAAATATATTAATTCATGCTTCACTGACAAAATAATATATGATGCAACAGAAATTACAGTTGTTTAAAAACCTATATGTAGCATTTTTCGACAATTTAGTGGAGTTGCATTTGTTACATTCTCTTTCAACATAAGGATTTGAAAACCGACTCTACTTGAGCCTTTTGGATGCCAAACAAAAAACCCTTCTAGTCATGTTTAATATTTTCAATCAAGGAGGCTAAAAACTGTTTATTTTTCTTTAATAATATTTTCTATGTAGTCTACAAGTCTATATACATGTACATCAGGTTTCAAGCCTCAATCTGAACTTCTCATTTAGTTATACCTCACCTGCTACAGGCTCTATAATTTCCTCCTGTTCTCCTGGCTTGCTATTCCTCATCATGATAATGCCTCCATGTGTCACCTACAAAAAAAGAATTATATGTCACATACATCATTATACAATACCTACATGAGTCACCTGCTATTACAGTATCAGTACATGTATACATGTATCATATGTCATATCATTGACTCCATGTGTGACTGTCACATACAATCAAAGAGTTATAACATCACTTCTGCCATATTAAATGCCCCCATGTGTCACCTACAATTTTAGTATATTACATATATATGTCACACATATATATCACATATATCACATTGCCTCTATTTGTCATCTACAATAAAAGTATTATAGGTGTCATTTATCATTCTAATGCCCATTCTATATAATAAATATCAAAGTAATAAATGTGTCCAACTGAGCTAATGTATAACAATTTTGGGTTATTTTTAAATTATTTTCAGTCAAGTTACATGTCTATGTCTGTTGGTGAATCAAGCAATAAATGGCCTAAGGAAATCTTGACAGTGAACGCTGCTGTTTTATTTTTCAAGCAGAGAGAAGGGGCTTCTACAGGAATTGAATTTTTTTTTTATATTTGTTTACTTCATGAATACTTCAAATCATTAAATAAATGCCACACCTAGTCCAAAATAGATGCAATTTTCAATTTCAATTCTCTGGAACATCACAAAACTTGTTAACTGAAGGCAGCTAATATATACACATCAGATTATTTGCTATTTTCAGAATGTAGTTGATTCCCCCTGTGCTTTTTTTGGTAACCCGAGGTTAATGTCTGAAAAATTAGCTAAGGTCTGGTAGGAAAAGAAAAATTAAAATAACAAAACAGTACTCTACCTATATAAAGACCAATTGAACAAAACAATTTGAGAGCCTAGCAAACATAGACCTCTAAAAACCTCAGTAGTGGGGTAAGGTGCCATGGAGAAGTGAGCATCCCCAGTTAACTAGACACATCTGCTGTGTGCTTCCCTTTTATAATCAGGCAAATGATAAAATTTGTAGACAATTCTGTGTTCAAATATTGGATTTACCAATTTGTTTGAAAAACATTGACTTTCCACCATTTATGATAGAAAGTATTTGCTATCAAGGTCATTGTATTTACCACACTACTTGTGAAATGTAGACTTTGAAGAAAGTGTTATCCTTGTTTCATCGACTTATTTGTCAATATCTATGACACCTGTCAAAATTTGAGGATATATTGACTGGCCTTTAAATAAAGGTAATTTTAGCAAATTACTCTAAGCTATGATCATGCAGAGAACCACCTCAATTGTAACAATTTCCCAATAGGATATTTTAAGCAAGTAAGTTCAAGTCTTGTTCAATGGCCCCTTTAAAACATTCTGAGCCATAGTTCTTATTTCTGTTTAGAATTTCTAGCCTGCTTTAACAACTCTCTGGTATATATTTCACCACAATAAATTTTTTTCGTCAGAAAACTGTTTGATCAACCCCTTTTCTTGTTTTATACCTATAAAATGCTAATATAATATAAACATATACTTACATCTTTAACAGGTACATATCTGCTAGTCTCTGGCATTAACAACACCTTCAGCTAAAATATAAGAAATTTAATATTTGTAAGTATTTACTTTCTTTGAAGCCCTGTCTTATTTTTTAAAGATAATTTCTAATACATATGAATTCTTTTGATACTTAGTCAGTGTTGATGATGTTCTGTAGATGTAAATAATCTTTATTTTTAATTCAGCCTCTACAGATAGGAATAATTATACAAGAGTTAATCTTCTTTAGAAACCATGATATCAATTCAAAAATAATATACAAGTAATACGTGTAGAAAAAAAGATGTTTATATACACATAATCACATATAATTTATCTGCTTTTACATTTTGTTCTTGCCATTGTATTTCAATAGATTTTCTGAAGTCAAAAACGGCATTAACTATATGATGATGGAATTGTCTTTTACCCTGCACTTATAAAATCTATGGTCAGAATTACAAAATCCCCTTTTTTAACAAAATCTATAAATCATTATCTTTTTAATTTTTGCATCATGACATGTGTTTATATAACTGGGATAAACATCCTTCTGTCGGCCATGAAATCAACTGGTTCCTTTATTCTCCCTTTTTTCTTCAATGAAAAGCAAGTTTGTTGAACTCTGGCCTAGAGTAAACTTGGAAGTTGGCTTCCAACACTTGTACAGAGCTTTTATAGACTCCTGATGTGAAACGCAAGGATGACCAAGTACAAAATACAGGTTTCAGGTAATATACTTTCATGTATCAGACACTGACCATAAATCTACCTCAAAAAATTCTATTTTAAAACTGTTGGTTCTGACCTCTAAATTTTAGAAAATAGATACATGTATCTTTTTTATTGCTTGTGTAGGCCTTATAATCATAGACATACTTCATGAATAAGGCACCTTAACTATTTGAAATATATGTAGACCTGTGCTATTTTCTTTACTAAATGATTGTATGATGGTATTTTGTATCTAATTCAATTGCATACTACTAACTATATGAAAATACAGAAGAACTTTTATCACATAATGGAATAATCTAGTACTGAACTTTTTTACCATCAAAAGGAATAATCTATTAATTATCTCTCACCATCTGTGAGAATAACCTACCAATGAATTCTCATGATCCAATGGAATAACCTTACAAAGAACCCTCATGATCCAATGGAATTACCTAGCAAAGGACCCTCATCATCAAATGAAAAAATCCAACAATGAATGCTTATCATTCAATGGAATTACCCAATGGAATTACCCAATGAAGAACCCTCATCATCCAATGGAATTACCCAATGAAGAACCCTCATCATCCAATGGAATTACCCAACAAAGAACTCAAAATCATCCAATGGAATTTCCGAACAAAGAACTTGAATCATCCAATGAATTACCTAACAAAGAACCCTAATCATCCAGTGGAATTACTTTACAAAGGACTCTCATTATCCAATTAAATTACTCCACACCTGACAATAAATATTTACCTGAGCTTTCATCACCCTGGCTGGATTATCCAACATCTGGAAGTTGGGTTCTGGTTCTTTTTCCTTCTCTGTTTTCTCTTTATCCTGTTTTTCTTTCTCTCCTTCCTCTGTTTCCATCTTTTCTTCTTCTTTATCTTTCTTTTCATCATCCTACAAAATACAGAGTTATTGCATCATCCAAAAAAATACTGACTTTAATATATACATATACTAAGACAAAGATAAATCTCAATAGAAATATTTTGTGTATATACCAACTCATCAAAATTTATCACTTATTTACTTCCTAAAAAACAAGGATATGATTTATTAATGACATGAAAATCATGCTCTAAGCTTCATTTAAGATAAGTATATCATGTCGCATAAGTAAGACATTGCTGAAGATAATAACAGAAAAACATGGAACACATAGGGAAAAAACAGGAGAAAATATCATGTCACTACGTAGTGCAGACACATTAGGTCTTTTTTTCAAAGATTTTTCCTTTGAAAACCTATAGCTTTCAATTCATCAATGTGGTCTTTATTCTAAATTCCAACATGCAAAACTATCATAATATGCAAACAAAAAGTCCAGTAATATTGCTAAATAACATTTTTATTCAAAAAGGATTAATCTTAGCATGCCAGATTTTCTTGTTAACTATATCTAAATTTTGTCTAATTCACTGCAATTACCAATGAAATAAGAACATGGCTTTTTAATTTATGATGTGTCAGAATGTCTAAAAATATATTTTCATTTTTTATATGGGAAGAAAAACAAAATTCATCAAATGAACAAACCAGTCAACTATGAATAGCTTTATTAATCTTGGCAGAACTATAATCTTTAATGATCTAAAATATTTATTGACCTACGAGGATTTGACCCACAATGTTGTATAACCTATGACCTAATTCAACCTATGACTTATGAAGCAATCCTGTCTGACCTTGGGCATAAAATCCTAACTGATCTACAAGTCTTTCAGACCTATGACTTCAAATCTTAACTTTATATGACCTATATTCCTGTCTGACCTATGACCTAAAATACTGTCTGACCTATAACCTTGACTGACCTATGACCTACATCCCTAGTTCTCCCTATACTTGACCTTTCTTTAATTCTTCACCTACCACATCCATCTTTTCTTCATCCTTCTTCTTTTCGGCCTCCTTTTTCTTCTGTTTGGCAGTGATACTCAGCACGGCTGTCAACACTTTCTCCTTTGTTTTCTCCTTTTTATCCTCCAGTGGAGGGGGGTAGGCAAACTGAGAGGGTTTAGCATTGGAACGGAACTCCAGCTTTGGCATCTGTAGGCCAAAAAAATAAAGGTTACATATAAAATTATTATAATTTTAATGCTAACTGATCTGTTTACAGTTAAGACACCATCAACAAATTAAAATGCATACCCCCCCCCCACACACACACACATACACACACACAAAAGATAGAGTGGGAAAGAAATAAAAACATACCAGGTAAATAACATCCTTTGCTACAAATCAGTATCTTAAAAATCATATTTACATCAACAACGAATTATTTCGTCAGATTCAATAATTTTTATCCCCCCTTTTATCCCCCCCCCCCAAATCATTATAAAAATCACACCATAAGCATGTTAAGTATTTAAGTACTTTTAAATCAGGTAAACATTTGGATTTACTTTGAAAGAGAAATAAATCGTAGAATCTGTCAGAAGCTACAAACATATGGATAGTGTCTATCCATCCCAACCTTCCATACTTTTGTCTACACTGGGTAAATGGTTAAGTTGATTGAAGTTTGGAGTAATTTTAATAAATGCTATGTAGCGGTACTGGTCAGCTGGAATTCATCTTTCACTCTTCAGTCTTCTTTAGTTTATCATGAATGAAGAGTGGAAATAATCGTGGAGGGATTAAAAACAACCAATAGTTTGTGGAATCCTGATGTAACACGATTAATTCATTAGTGTTAAACTGTAATTTATATAGCCCTCTACTTACCCAATTTTATGTTCAAAATACATTTTAGTTGCCTGCATCTGAATTAGTAGTGATTTGGAATTTTTTTTTTTTAATTCTTGATTTTTTTTTGGACAAAAAAATGAGAGGGATACCTTGTAAGAAAGTTAAGGACTCAATTGCCTGGCATGTGATCCAGAAATAATATGAAATTTCATTCTGAATTAATTGAAACTTTGTGGCCTTCACAGCTTCGTCTAAATAATTTTTGTTTTCAAGGTCATGGCATACTATAAAATGTGGATATATTTTCTAGGCAATGCTGTAACCAACTATTATTCGTGTCACTTATTTTCGTGATTCATCAGTTTTCAATCAGTCCCCAATATCTAATTTTTACAATTGAGGAAACATTTTCTACCAATACAAAACACTAGGTGATAAATTTGTGAAATTTCTCTCATTCAAAAAATTCCCCTGTTATGTAAACATTTCCACCTGTACAGCATCCTATGATCAGATCAAACTTGACTTTGATTTTAGTTACTCCACACCAATTTGTATGGATATAGGAATATCATATTTAGAAGTTAACACCAGTGACCTTGCCCAGATGACCTTGGTGCAAGGTTTACAAGAAGGATACATGCACATGGACCCCACTCCTAACTTTGTTTTTGAGAGTTATATTGTACATCAATAATACTTGAACAAAGGATCTCTACTTCATCTTAGTCATCCAAATGAATGTGCTTGAAGCCTTCAACAAAGCGTTTAAAAGTACATCTTCAATGACAACTCTACGTAAATCAAAACAAGACTGGAAAGAAACTTTTTAACAGAAAGGCGTGAACCCATTTCTGATCTCCTGACAATATATTATATTCATCGACTGATTAATAGAAAAAAACCTTTCTGTAGAAAGACATAAGAAAACAATTCATTAAGAAGAAGAAAATTGAATTATTTGTCTGTTATTATACCCACGTCATCAACCAATGGCAGTAATTCATTAGGCACGTGGGTGGACCACATAGAAATAATGGAGGAGCATCAAGGCAGTTTATTTAATCGAACCATTTAATATTCACTTCAGACATTTAAAAATTGTCAATAGCCATTAAGTCAATTATGTAGAACAATTAACATATAAAGGTATGTGAATAATATTGGCAATTACGGTACTGAACAGAAGATGATATCTCCTTTTCTCCTCAGAAACACCATGACATCATTCAGGTCTACTGTCATACACTGCTTGTCACTGAGGTCCACTATGTCAATATAACCTCAATGAGGACCACATAGTCTTTCGAAAACAATGAGCCCAAGATGCTTTTTCAATTACTTTTTGAGGAAGTCACCAAAAATTCTCTCAGCCCTAATATAGGCATCAGGAAACATTTTCAAGAACTGTCCTTCTGACGGTCCAAAAGATTTTTAATAGATTTTATGTGAGGTCCTCATTGAAATCCATGAACAGTTCCTTACCCAAAACTGAGGTCCTCACTGTGAGCTACAAACTGATGAATGAGGTCCTCACTGAAAACTACAACCTGATGAAGTCCTCACTGAGAGCTAAAACCTGAATGAGGTCCTCACTGAAAACTACAACCTGATAAATGAGATCCTCATTGAGAACTACAACCTGATGAATGAGGTCCTCACTGAGAACTACAACCTGATGAATGAGGTCCTCACTGAGAACTACAATCTGATGAATGAGGTCCTCACTGGGAACATGAGGTCCTCACTCACTGAGAACTATAACCTGACAAATGATGTCCTCCCTGAAAATATAACCTGATGAACCTTGAGGTCCTCACTGGCAGGTAGGAGTGAAGGCCATGGACAGATGAGTGTGTCACTGAGAACTATAACCTGAAAGATGAACACCAGTCCCCACCACTGCCTCCATGTTCATGTGACCCGTAACCTGACAAACGGTGATGTCCTCCCTGTCAAAAGTAGTTATGTTTATAATACCGTATAATCCCTATACAGCCCCTAACCTTGAGGTCCTCGTTGTCAGTCCCCCTTTACAGTGATCAAAATCATCCAAAATTGTAAAAAGTCAGCCATTATGGACAGTGAAATGTTTGTTATTAGGTAACTCATACATAAAATATTCTTGAAAGTAAAAGATTTTTAGAACGATCTACATATATTTCTGAAAGTGAAAGTTAAAAATACACCAGCATTCCCACCACTGCCTCCATGTTCATGTGACCCGTGCGGGACTGCAGGGAAACGGTCATGTTACGTCCTCCTGTCAAAAGTAGTTATGTTTATACTACATATATTACACTGCCAGAAAAAGAATATAATATATATTACATGCAAGTTACTTTGGACTGTGGCAAGCATTCTTTTACATTTCTATGGAAAATATCCCTGTCAAATATCAGAAAACTGGTAAATAAATTGAATGGAAGGCACCAAATTAAGTCTCTTTTCAGAATCTTTCAATGTAACAATCATATTTTTAAGTCTGAGTTTCAAATAAATTAGGTCTTATGATATTTTGATAACTGCAATTACATCTCACTATTATGATACTGATGTGACAGTAAAAACACTTTTTCCTGCATCATAACCATCACCCATTCTCGGCTGTTCATATTTGCGATGTGACTCAAACAAACAAATTACACACATTAGTTAGATGTAATTTGTGTTAATATTCATGTTTCCTAAGACCTCGCACATACTGATTACATCAAAGTGAATAGTGAACCCATTCACTATTATCAAACAGTATTGTTTCGAGATACATTTTCATTAAAAAGCCATTATTTTTCTCCTTTTTATCAGGCAAGGAGAATGCTGACTAAATAACATTCTCTCCATTTCCGAAATTTTTAAATCATTGAGACATCCTGTAGGATTGCCCAATCTCCGAATTCCTTCTGTAAACAACCTCCCCACACTACATGTATAAAGCCAGGGGAGCCATCACTGAATTGTCAAAAATTATCTTTTTTCGTGTTCCCCTCTTCGCTCTGAACAGTATCAAGTCTTTATCTTTTGAAAAATTAATGGCATACTCTTGTTAATTTTGTTTCAAGAGTGTATTTTCAATTCAAAAAATAACAAGACCCGAGAATACGGTCAAAACGTATTAACATAAAAGTTTCGGCAAAGAAAAATAACAACACAAATATTTGTTTTAGACTATTAATCCACTGCATTAAGAGAGTCTTCTTCATTTTTTATACGGGTGTAAGTGTAATGATCATAATTCTTCAATAAAGCAGCTTTATTAACATTAAAATTTGTTTGCACTGAAAATCAATTATAAAAGAAAATATTTTGCTACTGAATAAGAGAGCATCAGATACAAATATCAAGGACAACTGAATAGTGTGTATATAAAATTATTAAGTTACAAACATTATCTCTGAAATCAATACAACGAATACCAGGTATACATGTAAAATACACATACGTAAGCTGAAGCCCCAACCTACTTATACTTTAAAAATTCAATGTCGTTTTCTCAAAATTCACAAAAATTTAAGCTTCTCATTCAAACATTACTTCTATGTGTGATCTAATACAAGATATCTTGAACAAACAAGAGAGAAAAAAATTTACTTCTTCAACAGGTACTGCAACAATGTTTCAGAACAACTCGTTACAGAATGGAATCTTTTTATCACATCTCACTTTTTGGTGGAGGGTGTGATTTAATTAAACCTGAATTCTATCTCCTATGGATGTTAGTTTTATAATAAGTAAAGCATCACCTGGGACAACAACTACTATGAAGGAACTTCCACTGAACATGGATCTGATCAACTCGGCTTGACTTAAAAAAAAAATTTCAATGATGGACAACCTCTGATCTTTTGATTTCACGTGAACTCACTGCTGAGATGGTGATAAAAACAATTCTAACACTGTGATTTATTTTGCAACATAAAACTATATCATAGATTCAAATCTAGACCTTTGCTTCTTTTTCCTATCAATGAAAAAAAAAATACCAGACTTAGGCTAGGGAAACTAAGGATGATCCTCTAGATGAAACTAAGTATGATCGTGTAAATGACTTGTGTCTGAAAAACCGTTAAAATTAGCCGCTCTTCAGAACGTTTTAATGAATTCACAAGTACCTCTTGTGTTGAAGAGGACTGATGACTCTGATCGGAGTTCATCACTACCACCTCCTGAGGTAAAATAGGCAAAATTCAAGTAAACATCATTCCCTCTCCTTTGCACTGGACTAATTAAACTGTCTGATTACACCAAAACAGATTACTGCTTCTATGAAATGGTACATGTACTAGTATATTTTTTATTCAAAATGACATACACTCATCTGATGACAACAATGTTAGTAATATTTGCTAGGTGTTGCATATTTGTATGATAATAATCAAGGCTTGTTGTCTTTTTTTACGCAATATAATAAATCATTGAGGTTTCACACTAATTTCGCTGTCATGGGATGGTGCTGTTTTAAATAGCCCCAAGACAAACACGCGTGCATGTTAGGGGCTTGTAAATGTTTAATTTCAGAACTGGTTTGGCATCAAGTTCTATTCAGAGTTTTATTATAAATATATTACATCATGCAATCATAACAATCCTAAAACACCTTGTATTATTATGAACATATCAACCACAAATTTTTTTTTTCACAATAGCAGCAAACCAACAGGCTGCTGTTTTTCAATGCATCATCTTTGAGTATAATATATATTTGACAATTCTGGCTTCTTTTTTATAATTATAAATTGTTACTTCTCCAAATACCCATCTGCAAGATGTACAAGAGAACCAAGTCCTCAATGCTGGGCTTTCGAGACCATATTAAAAACTTCATCATATCACATTACGAGACCATATTAAAAAACTTTGTCACGCAAAACCCTAATACCCAATCACACTGTAAATTGAATTCTCAAATTCTTCATTTGGCTTGTAAAAAAGCCTATCAATTTCTCACTTAATGTCACTTTTCCATGTGGAAAAGTGCAGTGCAACAGTTAAAATTCACACTGTCTAACATTTGCTGTGGGTCACTTTCCCTGCATAATCTGTTTATCCTTCCCCCCTTTTTTTAACACTGGAACTTAAGAGCCCTATTTGATATCTAAAATGTTACATCTTATCAGGAGGAGCACCTGCTTCTGTAGTCTCCAGGGCCATCAATGTTTTTCCTCCAGTGTTTGCCAGGAAATCATATATATATATACCTATCACCCTCTTGAATCAATCTGTCAGATTATAAAACATGTAGATAACCGCTTCATTTGCCATCCCTTCCCCCTCATTCAAATTTGGCATGGAAAATTCTTTTTTCTTTTAAATTTTTTTTTATCATCTTTGATCACTAGCTTCCTGAGATAAATGCCCTGTTATTGACATTCAATGAAGAGAAGAATGCTTACGCAGCAACTGATAAACTCGATATTGATCAAGTTTGTCTTATCTTATTGCAAATGTTATTCTCTTTTAGTGAAAAAAGGGATATTTTCCTCCTACAAATTTCAAAAAATTTATTTTTGCTATCCAATACATTAAAATTGCAGTCAATGAACTCCAATGTACAGCAATACGTCCAGCAAGTAAGAACTATAGTGTAACACGCTTAAAGCGAACATGCTTACAACGCATTGATGCTTATAGCAAAGCACATGATAATGGGGAAAAAAATGTTTTCTTTGAAATGATTGGCTGACCTGCATCAATGATTCCCTGTGCCAGAATTGCACCAAACTTGGCCATAATGTCATCATGTTTGTCTGCGATGATTTTGGCATATAAGCTTCTATAGTGAGCAACCTACAAGAAAGGGGAGAAGCTTATTAAATAACATCACATCTTTTTCTACAAAGGAAGTATGAACAATCAATGTAAAGCTTCCAAGATTACATGCATAATTTATGTCACTTTTCTTAACCAAGAGGTCACAAAGATACAGTAAAACTTGGATATAAAGAACTCCATCATAAGGAGATCTTGGTTATAAGGAAGCTGTTTTGAATTCAGTGGAAAACTTTGCACTATGTTTTTATACAGATATTTAGAGAATCTTAAGGTTAATAAAAAGAAGCAATTATTTAAGACACATTATTGTAGTAGATCATCAAATTTTTACGACACCTTATTTTCAAAAGATATTCTTTTGGTATAATATCTAGATAATCGAGTCACAATTTAAGAAATTCTAAAATAATTGGGAAATAATGTTCTTGTGAAAGAAAAGTGATTAACATGCAGTTCAGCTTTCCAATATCACTTAGTTTTACTAAAATATTTAAATACAAGCATCTTCCTTTCGTGCATTATGTGTTTTTAACTGATACTTGTAAAATTCATAAGGTCACTGGGAATTCATGAAAAAAATTTCCTGCAATGAAAAAACTTAGCAAATTTGCATAAAGAAATCACTATGCATTACTTCAAATGACAAACTGCTAATTTAAAACAACGAAAATCCCAAAGAAGTTTTGCTGTAATATTAACTTACAAGGGATTTTCTGAGTAATACAGTTCATAAATCGAATGGACAAAATGGTGCCAATCTGAACAGCTTAGTAACATTGATTTATATAGCTCGAAGAAATTGACCTGAATAATGGTTTACTAATTTACAAATATATACCCCATTATTGAATAGGAAGTACAGTGACCCATTCAATGATCCAGATTAACAGCAAGGAGGGAATAAAAATTTCTACCAATCACAGAATTCCAGGATGATAGACTTTCCATGTATTTGAAATTTACATTTAACCTAATTAAAAAATAACATTTTAGGGGCTTTCACAAGCGTTTAAAATAATAATAGTTTTGAATTTGAATCCAAATTTAAGAAAAATTATGTACAGCCCCGCTTTTTAGATCTGCAACTTGCAATGTTTGATGTACTTCAACAGGCCCTGCGATTAATCGTGCAGGTATCAACTATAAACAATGTTTTGAACATCATATTCTTCATGAAGGAACTCCCAAGAAGCCTTAGATAAAATACTTCCTGGGAGATTCTTTTATTTCAAATTTCAAAAGGATTCAAAATGGGAGATCAGAACAAATATACTTCTCTTGGGAATCCGACAATTTCAAAACCAAAACATTTCTTAGAAATAAGTCAGAATGGATATTGGCATGTCGAGCAGATAAAATCCTATAGTATGCCAATTTTCTTTTGATGATGGACATTTAGTTGACCCACAAAGTGAGAAGAATTCATAGAGCATTAAAGTATAATGATTTTACCACCCTTTCTCTTTTGCTTAGTGATGGCATGTCTGAAATATTATTTAGAATGGGAAAAACATTCAGCTTTGTTGGTCAAAATTTCTGAAATTTTTCCTCGCTGAAATAAATATTTTGGGCAAAGGAAAATAAGAAGCTAATTAAGTCTAAAACATTTCCATTTTATAGCATCAATCATTATTAGAATAATAGCATATCTTGTGATTCTTAACAAGCAAATAAAATACAGTGGATATGAGATAACAGACAGTCTGAAAAATTGCTGAGTCATTCGACTGGATATGCTAAAAATTTCAAAACTAATGATGGCAGGTCTTGAAAGAAATCACAAATATTTTTGAGGCATGCACAGAAAATTACATGAATATATCTTTAAAAAAAAAATTAATCTCTTAGCAGAGAAACCACATCTACATGTAACTTAGACAAACAGCCATAAAATACATTATGACTGTTTCTTTTGCAAACTTTTAAGAATTTGAGATGATTTTGGTCTGTAACCTTCAGGGAAGTTTAAAATTAAACTAGCACTTCATTTTACCTCTGACAGGGTCAAAAACTTGGTCTCAACAATAGAGAAATGAAACTGTATGCCAATTTTATTCCTTGGACAAGTGTGATAATTAAAAAAAAAACCTTGTATATCTGTGTAACACACCTGGCATTAAATTTTACCTTTTCTAAGAGAAGTGAAAGCATTTCATTAAATTTTACCTTTGGACAGGTGTTTTATTACCTTTGGACAGGTATTTTTGTTACCTTTGGACACAAGTTTTTAAAACCTTTAGTTTATTATTTTTTTATTTAAACAATTTTCTATTCCCAGATGTTAAGATGAATAAGACTGTGAAGCAGGCTCGGCCTATTTTAGCCTTGTCCCTTATAGCAATTTAATTATTTTTTGACAGGTGTTTTCATTACCTTTGTACAGGTGTTTTTATAACCTTTGTACAGGTGATTTTATTACCTTTGTACAAATGTTTTTATTACCTTTGTACAGGTGGTTTTATTACCTTTGGACAGGTATATTTCTTACCTTTGGACAGGAGTTTTTCTTACCTTTAGACAGGTGTTTTTCTTACCTTTGGACAGGTGTTTTTTATTTATCTTTGGACAGGTGTTTTCATTACCTTTGGACAGGTGTTTTTTTATTTATCTTTGGACAGGTGTTTTAGTTACCTCTGACGTGTTTTCATTACCTTTGGGCAGGTGTATTTCTTACCTTTGGACAGGTGTTTTCATTCTGCTGTATCAGCACCAGGGCAGAGGCGATCAGAGCTCCTTGTCTGACATAGTTCACAGGGTCATTGGTCATGGGTTCCAGCAAGCTGATAGCATCCTACATAAAATTAATATGACAAAATTGATTAATTTTATATTGATTGAAAAAGTGATTTGCAGACATATTAATTTGTTTCGAGAAAAAAAAGAAAAGAGTTTAATCTCATTAATTTAAATAATCATAAATAAACACATTATAAAATGATGATATATATCAATTTCGTTAAATGGAGAGTTTGGAATGACCGTAAATAAATGAATTTCAATCTTCAATTTTCATGTTCTCATGGACTATTTACAACTGCATATTATCCTTTATATAGACCAAGCCAGTGGAAATGATTTTTATTGTTTTAAAAACATGACTGTGACAGTCAAAAATCTGGGCTAACTAGGTGACTGAGATACAATAAACTCTAAAATTAGAATGTACTTGTCATCTTTTGAAATGAGCTAAACAAATAAATGTTGAAAATAGAAAATACTATTTTTATTTTTTTTCCCAAGTACTCTAATGTTAAACATTATCGATACATGGTCTTTCAACAAGCACTCAAGTATCTGGTACTTCTCGACAGCTCAGCTGAGTCAACAGTAATATTAAATACATAGTTTGCATAAAGTGAATCATTGATAAAAATCAAAGATATTGTTTCTATAATTTAACAGGGAAGAAATCAATTTTTAATTGTGTTCTGCTGTTGCACTAATTTTAAGACAGAAATTGTGTAAAAAATTATCTCTGGATAATTTCTAATGTCAAACTCTGAGAACAGCCAGCCATAACAAAACACATACTGATATCTATAAACATTTTATATACAGGGGTCTTCTTATCTCTCTGATATTTTCAATCCATACACCAATATGAACATGATGAAAAATCGCAAGGAAAGAACTGTTTTCTTCTCTCCGATGCAGCTTACAGCTCATCAAAAATTGTGATCGATTTCATTGCAAATGAGATCTGAGAAGCAAAATGTTGAATGGAATCTTAATTGGCTTTTGTTTATGTTCGGCTTTTATCTATTGATCTGAATGATGCATGGAAAACGCAATAGATTTACCAAAATAAGATAGTCTTGGCTTATGAACAACAGTCATTAATTGCCACCTTGAAATCAGAGCAATCAATCATACCCTACGTCACACATTTCCCAGGATGTCCCGATTTCTTGAGTCATTCATTTTTATTTTGTGCTTATGGGCCACAAAGCAAACCTGAAACTTCTGTCTGACTGAAGTCAAAATATGGCCATCCAAGCTTACGTACAGGCATGGTTGTCAATATTTCATATACAGTAGACCTTCAGATATCCATACGCCAGATATCCGGATGCTTCAGTGTCCAGACAATTTTTCATCAGAACGGAATTCTTTAATGTTATTTTGTCTTGTTTGGTAATTCAGATATCCAGATGTTTCACATATCTGGACAAATTTACTAGGAACCAAAGCGTCCAGATAAATGAGCTAGGCTCCATTGTTCCTAACATTATCATGACACTAATTTATCATGCGTTAATTTGTAAATTCAATAAAAAACAAGATTTCCATGTGTCACAATGTAAATATGTAATCTGACTCAAATTGATGCTTGGTCAATCCTTACAACATGGAATCCCTTTAATATCAATGACTAACATGGCACTGTGGTTGTTCTAGAGATTACTTTTTTCCTTTTTAGGTCACCTAAGTCACTCAGGTGACCTATTGCTATCCGTTTTCATCCGTCGTCGTGCGTCGTGTGTCTTGTGTTAACATTTGAACATTTTCAGCTTCTTCTCTGAAACCACTGAACCAATTTCAACCAAATTTGGTATACAGCATCTATGAAAACGGGGAACATAAATTATGAATTTCATGGTCCCTGCCCCCCTGGGGCCTGAGGGGTGGGGCCAAAACCACTAAAATTAATGAAATCTTTAAAAATCTTCTTCTTTACTCCTGGACAACAAGCAGGTAATCTGTTAGTATGAATGTAATGAGCATTGAGTCCTCTACCAAAATTGTGAATTTCATGGCCCCAGGGTGATTTTGTTAGGGCGGGGCTATGTAATTATATAGTTTTAAATGCATTATTTCTTTGGAAATCTTCTTCACTGCTGCTGAGTATAAATTAAACTAACTAAGCACATAGTTATGATGAGCAAGAGTGCCTCTTCCAAAATTGTGAATTTTATGGCCCCAGGGTCAGGGGTTCTGGTGTTAAGGCGGGGCTCTATTGATTATATAGTGAAAATGTATTAATTCTTCGAAAATCTTCTTCTCTGCTCCTGGGTTTTAAATAAACTAAGTACATACATGTAGTTATGTTGAGCAAGAGTGCCTCTTCCAGAATTGTGAATTTCATTGCTCCAGGGTCAGTGGTTCCTTTGGGGTGGGGTGCACAACTGTTTATAAAGTGGAAGTGCAATTTCTCTTTTTTGCTCTGATCTACCTCTGGGTATTAAGTAAATAGAGTAAGCATGCTAAGTTTATGATTATGATAAGCAATGGTGCCTCTTTCAAAATTGTAAATTTCATGGCCTATGGTTTAAAACAGAACCAAATCAATTGTTGGAAAGTTGTTACATGATACTCAGGTGACCTATAAGGCCCGTGGGCCTCTTGTTTTTTTGTACAAAGGGACAAGACCCCTCAACTGAACAAATTCAAATCTCTGCCAAAGAATCTGTACCCAGCTTGATTGAAATTATTCAGTGGTTTTGAAGAGATTAAAAAGAAATAAAGTGCCCCGCCACAGCATGATACGCCCGTCAAATATTGTTCAATAATCATGAATTGGTTAGGATGCAAGAAAATCAGGTAGCCTTGATTAACAGATTGACACAGATTTCAATTATCTAATTTCCATTTCTTATCATACTTCTCTAAGAGCCTTATATATAGTTACAGTGTATGGACTGATTATAAAAAATAATACATCATATAATTCTAAACTGGTTGTGTTAGAGCATAACAATATCCATCTGCAGCTTTAAATTGTTTATTGCATATTTTATGAAATGCTAGTCTGATAAAAATCAAACATAAATTATTCTTCAGACTATAACATGACTGCAATTTGTTGCAAATATATAAAAATTGAAACATAATTTTTTTTTTCAATGAACACATGTATAATAAGTTTTAATCATATTATACAATACTAATTTATTTTTAATCATACACTAAAACATCAATTTGTTTTAATTACATTTCACCAATTGAAAGATCTTTATCTGGACTAGCCATCAAGAACTCTTAATTAACACAAGCAACTATGAGGCCATTTCTTTTTGCCCAACTCCCAAGAGATAAATTAAGATTACAGCTCCATCAGATCTAGAGTTGCTCTTAGCTCCTGACAATAAACTCATTAATTTCTCTCTAATTTGACATGCAAATTTCTGCTATCAAAATTCTTCTTGACCAGTGCTTGATAATTATGCCCATGGGACAAACTGAATTCCTCTCAAAGCATAAACATTTGTTACAGATTGCTGTAAAGTATATAATGAAAAAATAAGTTTTTACTTAATATAACATTTTTTAATAAGGATACAACTATATTTTTACATTTTTTAGGATTATGCAATTAAAAATTTAAAAAACTTAGTTTTTTTTTTTTTAAATTCACTTTAATTAAAGGTCACAGTGACCTTGAATGGGCTGTGACACACCTTCTACTTTAGATGCATACTTTTGCCAAGTTTGAAAGATTTAGGTCTAATAGTTTTCTAGTTATGAGCAGGACAGGATTTTTCCATATTTGGCTATAGCATCATTGTTGCAAATATATAAAAATTGAAATATATTTTTTTTTTTTTCAATGAACACATATAATAATTAGTTTTAATCATATTATACAATACTAATTTAGTTTTAATCATACACTAAAACACCAATTTGTTTTTAATTACATTACACCAATTGAAAGATCTTTATCTGGACAAACCATATCAAGAACTCTTACTTAACACAAGCAACTATGAGGCCATTTCTTTTTGCTCAACTCCCAAGAGATTAATTTAGATTACAGCTCCATCAGATCTAGAGTTGCTCTTAGCTCCCGACAATAAACTCATTAATTTCTCTCTAATTTGACATGCAAATTTCTGCTATCAAATTTCTTCTTGACCAGTGCTGATAATTATGCCCAAAAACTGAATTCCTCTCAAAGCATAAACAATTGTTACAGATTGCTGTAAAGTATATAATGAAAAAATAAGTTTTTACTTAATTAAACATTTTTTAATAAGGATACAACTATATTTTTACATTTTTTAGGATTATGCAATTAAGAATTTAAAAGACTTAGTTTTTTGAAAAAATTCACTTTACATAAAGGTCACAGTGACCTTGAAATAGGCCGCGACACACCTTCTACTTTAGATGTATACTTTTGCCAAGTTTGAAAGCTCTAGGTCAAATAGTTTTCTAGTTATGGTCCGGACAGGATTTTTCCA